TGAAAATAACAAAGGTTTATATTCAACCAGTACTTAAAATAAATGTTTGTTCTTAAATTATCAGTAATACCTAAATGGAGTGAGTTTGTCTTGTGAACATAAACGCACCTATTCCGTTTACTGTCAGGATAGCTGAGTTAAAGAGAAGATTATCCAACAATGTAAACGGGATGCTAGCGGCCAAGGTAACACTTGCTTTGTGTGTCTTAGGGATTGAACACATGGCAATATTGGCTTTTTTTTTTAATATTAACATAATTATATTTCATAAAAAAAATACCTGGTATATTAAGCAAAAATAATATGTACGATTCTTATTTTATTTATTTTATTCTTCAATAGAATATAAAGGAAATGAAATAAATAATGATTTTTTCCAAACTCATAAATGCAAGAATTAAATACAGTGTACAAAATTTATTTACAAAAATAACTAAATGTACAATAATAAATTACTTATTCAACTATTATATATAATAAATATATGCATAACATTGAAAAATAGTAAATTAATATTACGTTACATAAAAAAGTATAACTATCAAAAAAATATTATAATTTAAATAACACAACAACAATACTATGGGCAGCCATATTGTATTTTACGTGGTAATAATTTCCATACAAACCGCGTCCCCTTACAATTATCATCCGACGTGTCATAAAGACAGATCATTTCATTCAAGAGCAGGTCATTATCAAATCAGTCCCCATTGTCATTGCTCTTTCGACTGTCACGGCCGATGCTCTTTCCGACGGCCTCAGGTGCATCCCGAGGGTCCTAGCTGGAAATGAATGAAAATACAATTGATACTCCATTAAATAGTTAGTTCGCACCTGCTCCTGTATGGATAGCAAAAATTATACTGGCTGAATATTTTAAGTTGTTGCCAAGTTAAAAAAAATGATAGTTATGGCCTATACAATAGCAAAGAGGCTTTATTAAGCTTTTTTATTCAATCAAAATGAGTGGTCTATTAAATTATAGTTATTATTACATACGGTTAGGGATTCATAAATTTTCAAACGGTACATAATTTTAAAGAAATATTTGAACTTAATATTATTTTGACATAAATTTCGGGGCATTATTATGTTTTAATTGAATTTTTGTTCCTTTATTTTTTCATCATAATAAATAATAATTTAGATGACACTTTTATTATAATAGAATTCATAGGTACATGAAACATTTAATAAGTTTGAAATAATAATAAAAATTAAATAGACGCCTTTATTCCATTCGAAAATCTCCTTCGTGTTTCCTCTATACAGTACTCAAGATTATAAATCATCAAGCAAATAAAAACGTTGACATTGGCAAAATATTCCACGATACCGTTGCAAAGGAAGCCATGGCATTATAAAACAGTTTTAAACATTTGACAGATTGAGTAAAAACACACTATCGTTAATCTTTTTTTTTTTTGTTTTCCCAGGGGAAATCTGTTCACAGATACCCGGCCGAGCGGGGACTTGACCGGGTTATGTGGGGTTTCGACCCACTAAAACCCCTGGGTGTTCCTCATCCACGCCACCTAGGCAGGGCCACGGTATACCAAAAGCTTGCCTCGCGACCCTGCCGGGCCCGTTAATCTTTAGATATTATAAAGCTTATACTATAAGGAATTAATGTCTCATTAGGATTGATCGAACCTGTTACACATCTACGATAATATTTCCCTCCAGTTGCAAAACTGATTTAAAGTGAGACTTCGACAGCAAAATTTTCTTAAAACATTTTTAATATAGCTTGTCACTATTAGAGACTAGGACTTTAATGAAAATGATAGTATGGACATGCATTAAAATTGTTAAATTAAGATTGATACCTGTTGAATATATATTCTTAACCAAAACGAAATACGACTCTTATTTTGTTACTTTTATTAAAATCTACTTTTAGAACTTACGGCGAATCTAGACAAACAACTTTTTTGGGTTAAGTATTTAAAAATGTTAATCATGATGCATTAATACAACTAACTTAAAGGATTGAGGCCCGAGAACGCATAGCAATAATAAAAATTATATAATTAAGCTGGTTAAATATGTGAAAATATTTAACATTTTATTTAAAGAATGTTTCATCTCTAATTAGTAATTACTATAGCGATCCTTACGATTACTTATTTTTTATACGTAAAGTATTTTGTCAGTGTCACTGTTTTTAGAAGTTTTACAATTGTTTTCTTATCTTTGAAGATTGAGTACAATAGTTATTTTTATAATAAGGATAAAGGTTCTGTGGAGTTTCATCATGAAAGCTTTAAAACAACTTATTTCATGGTAGGTATACCTTTTAAGTGATGAAGATAGGTATATTAATTTCCTAATGTCGGGGTTTATATTCAAAAATGATTATTGTTTTATAATAGAATGTACAGTTTCTTTAAAGACATAATATTGGAATTAATCGTTTTATTTACATTTTTTAATACTTAAAATAAAACTATTTTTTGACGAAATTTTCTTGTCGTCTACCGTCTGCAATCGTGACTACCATTAATGTAAGTCATCTGAACGGCGGGAAAATGTTAAAATAAATAACGCAACGTTCACTTATATCCGAAAAACATATTTTTAATATGTACCTATTCGCTATTATCTCAAATATCATTGTTTTTAATATTACCACTTGTGCATCGTCATACCAGAAACAGACAGTTTTTTGTGTTTTTCTCACGTATAGGTATAGTATAGTGTAGCATGATAGCATCGTCATAGGAATATGATTTAAAAAATGAAATAGTCCGTTAGTTTAACGAAGTAAAATTTGTTGTTACTTTACAGTCCTTCCTAAGGTATTAAAGGATGTGATGTTATATGGGTAATTAATTAGTCATTCTTAAATTAGTCACAACACTTTTAATTCAAATTGATAATTCTTTCTACAAAATAACTTAGTTTTTCTTTTAACTTAAAGATCTATAGTAGAAGCCACCTTTAAATTAAATTTAAATTAGGAAAGTAAATCAAAAATTAATAGACTACATAAATGATAGATTATAATAACGAGTACACCATATATTTTCTTAAGCCATAAAAGTTACATATTCGATATTTTGAAAAAATAAAAGAAATAGAATACAAATTCAAATAACTGATACACAATTTCTTTTAATATTTCTAAATATTTTAAATTTTCTTAAAATTTAAATTAAGTACTTACGTCAATGTATACTTTTCTCCGAATAACTGTCAAATATAATTAATAGGAAATAGATTTAAGATGCGGATTAATTATCAACACTAGTTTTCTTAACTCCATAACATCCTTGTAAATAACCTTCATCGCACCCAATTGTATTTCTAGTGTCGATAGTTTTAATTTTATCGCTGTAAGACTTCTCTCGCATGCTTTTATATCACTGTCCAATTTAAGGATACTTATACGATTTTCTTCAATAACTTTCTTAAAGTACGAATGGATCGTCATTGCTTATATAAAAAACGTCTCGACTAACACAATCGTACGTTTTCACTAGTAAAACTCAAAGATAACAGGATTCGTGTGAATCGGTTATGAATAATCTTTAAACTTCAGATAAGAGGAAAATATGAACGATAATTGGGTCACCATTAATAGTTAAAAAATATATTATTCAGACAAATAAAGTGGTCGTACCAAATTATTCAATTGAAATGTTAAATTATCCAAACAAATATTTTGTTTACAAAAACTTGAATAATAAAATACTGAAAGTTGTTTTTGTTTAATATAAGACTGATCTTTGGAGTACAAAAGAAAAAGAAAATAATTAATATCTCTTTCGGCAGTCTCAGTGGCCGTATTAAAAGCGACAGCAAGAGTTGCTTACACCTTGTCCATAACTGGGCGGGAAAACAAGAGGTTATGGAAAATAACATTCAGCCACTGAAGACATTTTAAACATTTATTTAAATACAAAGCGTTTATATATAGTAACTTTCCATAGTACTCTCAACTACTTTTAAAATATTTTCTCTTTTAATGTTCCTGTGATATGTTTAAAAATTTTATGACCGAAAATGAAACTCAATTACAAACTTACAGGTTTAATAGAAAAAGATTGCACTCCCAAAAGCTTTAAAAGACAACTTAAAAAAAATTAATTACGAACAAATGAAATTCCAAATTGTAATGAATGAGTGCGATCGTAATTCAATAATGTCAATTTAAAACTGAGGGAGATATTAGTTGCTCGCTTTAAATTATGGAAAATAAAAAATAAATTGTAATTACCATATTATATGTATTTGTAATTAATTGAACAAAAAATTATTTCCAAAATCGTATAATAACTGAACTAATTTATTTCTCATGAAGACAAATTAATGCTAAGTAAAATGGAAGTAATAAATTTTTTAAAATAGATTTTTTTTTATTTAACTACTTAAAACGTTATTACATGATTTATACAATATAAAAAGCTTGTCCCAAATTTAAGTAATCGTACTCGTATTTACTTCAGTTCAAAATTTTGGAAATAACTATCAAGACATTAAGTTTCTTAATCCACTTGATTATTACAAACGTAAATATCACTTGTCAGTTTTACTAACTGACTTTTTCAAAAATTTTAAAATCAATCAAAATATTTTAGTTCAAACAGATTCTCATTAAAAAAAATGATTTTCTAAACATATTTCGAAGGTTTGTTCCGAATATAAGTAACACAAGTTTCATTTATATTTTATAAACAAAATCTTTCTTTTAACTTAAATAAGTACAAAAGGACAAAATATTGTTGTTGAGCTATTTAAATATAATAATAAATAGTGAAGTTATAGAGAATTTTATATTTTATGTGACTTGCATTAATTAATATTTTATTTCAAAGACTTACGTGAAATGGAAGCAGGGATCGAACTACTGACTTGACAATCAGGTTAGCCAACCATTAAAAAAAGTAACAAAATTGACAAAGTGAGCTGTCATTTTTCTGTCCATCGAAGAAATCATAGTTGATTTTCTAAAACAAAACTTTGCTTGCTGGTAACGTTTATAAATATTAAACATGTTTCGAGCTAATAACTTTGATAAATTATTAGGTAAGACTCTTAACGCCAATCATTTTTAATAATGTAAGATAAATACAGTCGTAATAAATTTATCATAATATTGTTCTTTATATTTAGTGAACGATTCTCTGTAATTTGCATTACTTTCTTTTTTATGAATACGAATTGAGTGTCGTTTGTTGGAACACTTAAAATAAAATTCTTTAACATTTTCCTTATGAAAATATCGAATGTCATTTCTATTGTTGTGATGAAATATTTTCCAATTTGTTCTAGATAAAGCGACAAGTAATCTACGCTTGGACCCCGATTGGCCCTCTATCTTACAAATATGCGATCTAATTAGACAGAATGACTGTTCGTGAGTAGCTTTCATCATTATTCAACACCATTAATGGAATGATAAATTCAATGTCATATCAATTTCAATGGCTTATACATAACTTTATTTTTAGACCAAAATATGCAGTGGCTGCTGTTAAGAAGAAGTTGTACTCACAGAATCCCTACCAAGCTATGTTTGCACTTTTGACTCTTGAGAGTATTGTTAAAAATTGTGGTAAGTCATCAAACCATATATTTTTTCAATAATTATTCAGACACATACCTCAATTAAATTTGAATCATATCTCTGACATATAGTATAATACAGTGAAAATATTGGAATCATCTTAAATTATAATATGGTAGTAATATTGGTCCTAAAAGTAGTGATAATGTATCTACAGGAATATGTAGTGACAACACATACTATGTTTTGAAAAGTAAAAACCTGTTTTAGAATTTAAGCCTACTAAAAATATAATTACATAAGTATGAATAAGTTTTTATAAGTCGTTTTGTTTGTTTACAATTGTATTGGTCTGGAAAGGAGTTAGGATAATGCTAAACTTGATATTACAATAAGCTCTACAATATCAAATCAAACCTATTTAAAATAGAATCACAGAAACATAAAATTTACACAAGCATTATATTTCAAATTGTATACAATTTTGTATGATAATTTAAATACTTTACCTATTATAGTCTTTAACACTTATCTATATTATTAATGTTATACTTTATATACAAGCAAGTAGATATATGTGAGAAAAAATAACACCTTAATCATTTTCTGTAACAGGATCTGGAGTTCATGATGAAGTCGCATCGAAGGCATTCTGTGAAATGCTCCGTGATCTTGTAAAAACAACCCAACACGAGAACTTGAAGACCAAGATATTAGAATTAATACAAGCTTGGGCATTTGCTTTCCGGAACTCACCAAAATACAGAGCTGTACAGGTATGTAAATTAAATGATTTAAATATTCCTCTTAAACACTATGACAACATGATAATAATAAATTGAAAGCTCATTTGTGTTTTTCATATTATGTACATCAACTTAAATTTTTTCTATTCTATGGAAGATACATATATCTCATATAATATTAATTATATATGACTTTCAGAGCAGTTTTTGGTTGTTACTTTTCCTTTTACTAATATTTATTGCATGTTTCAATAAAAATAAACATCTCTCTCTGTATCTAAGACAAATGAGCATCATATTGACAGAGTGTAATGGTTCAATAATGCTATTGTTTGTAAACAAACATTTATTGTCTTTAGTTATGGAAAAATTTTCTTCTCTTATCTGTGAATATGGAAGTGTTGTCTTCCTTACTTAAACATAAAATTAAAAATTTATGAATGCAACTTGTAAAACAATTTTATTATATCAACATTATGTTTTATATAACAATATTTTACAAGATATTTGCTTTAAATTGAAGTGAATATTTTTAGCACTAATACAAAAAATATATATCCATATTTAAAGATCCTTAAATTTGGTTTAAGTGAATACATCATGTATATTTTTTACAGTGCCTTAAAAAGTTTCCAATAATTGTAATATATGTGTATTAAAATTAAATAATGAGGTGGAACCCCAAGAAAAAAGACAAAAAGTAGTAGGGATAGGGATAAACTGACTTCTTATAAAATGATATAAAACTATGTATTAAATTGTAAAATTAAATTTCCAATGGTATCTATAATTAACACATTTCTGATTAAAACTTGTGTATAAAGAATCAATTTATTATTACTCCAATTATTCACTATCATAAGTACACTCCACAGCTAGAAATCAGAATATAAGAACAAGCCTTACCTGATAAAGAAAATTTATTTATTTATTATTTTTATAAATATCACAAGCATTCTTGATAACAACTCTGATCATTTTCTTATATTTATAAAGAAAAATAAAACAGCAGTGTTATCTATGTCTGTGTAGTGTGTGTGATGAATGACTGATGAGTAAAATGTATTGGTTATTGATTTATGTTGTGTATAATCTAATTAAGAGCTCACTAGCCGAGCTTCACCTATAACATATAGAGAATAATCCTAGTATTGAGTTTAAATTCATATCTAACATACCTTCATTTTAATATTGACAAAAAGTATTATTATAAATCTATCTATGTGTTTATCTGATTATCAATTGTAATAAATCGGTTTTTTCTGCTCACAAAGTGAAGTCAATGTCCTCAATTTTTCTTAAGTACGTAATGTAAATGATAAAATGTCAACTTTTGTACACAACACTCATTTAACTACAACAGGCCTTGTAATCGAACAAACATAATAAACCTAAATAAATCTAATGTTTGAGATATAAAAAATTATGCTGCTTTGGTTAAATGACGTTTTACATTCATTATCATATTTATCAGTCATTACCTTTGTCATGTGTGAGTCACACCTGTCATAAAACATAGTACAGTTAGTTGTTGTGTAAAACTGAAATTTTCTGTGTCTTTCATTTTTATTTGAAATATTTGTAGCAAGTCGAATACTATTTTGTTTTGTCATATTGTTATTAGGACACTGTGAATATACTGAAAGCTGAAGGTCATAAGTTTCCACCGCAAAAAGAATCTGATGCAATGTTTTCTGCGGACACAGCACCAGAATGGGCTGATGGTGAAGTTTGTCACAGGTAGTGTTTAAAATTTTAAATAATGATCACTTGTTGTTAAATGTTAAGTAACAATTACTTAAACAATTGTTTTATATAGGTGCCGAGTAGCATTTTCTCTTATGGTCCGTCGACATCATTGTCGAGCTTGTGGTCAAGTGTTTTGTCAGCAATGTAGCTCCAAGACATCAACATTGCCTAAGTTTGGCATTGAGAAAGAAGTAAATATACACCATATTATACAAATTATAGTGTCTGTTTCAAAAAGCATATTATATAAATAATAATCTGTAGGTCCGAGTGTGTGAGGCTTGTTATGATAAAGTAAGCCGTCCACCATCTTCAACAGCAAAGTTGGAAATTGTAGATACTTCTAGTGACTATGGACCAACTCAACCCCAAGTAAGTAACAGAATTTTTCATATAATTTGTTATAATTATTGAAAACAGTTGAAATTATGATTGAGGTTAGTATGCACTTCACTTTGACATTTCTAGGATAAGGTTTCTAATTAAAAAGACATAAAAGTTAAAGTATAACGTTTATTATTACTATAAATCTTAATAGCTATTGTCCCTCATATGATTCGCCGGGCATTTCACCTCCTGGTACCAACATGGCTATATTGTTTCCATTAAGAAGAATTTGATCTAATTTAGTAATTTTTCTTCCTTCCGGTGTAGATTCATATTCCGTTACATCGTCTAATAACATATTTACAAAGTCGTCGAAGCCTTGTAGCGTTCCCACCATTTCTTTGTCGTTTTTCATTATAATATGAATTCGTGATCCAATACATTTGTCTACGAGTTCTAAAGGTAGCAAAGTATTAGGGTTTGGGAGTGCTTGTGTCATATTGTTATGCTAGTTTCCTGTTAAACAGAAAAGTTTTTAACTTTTAAGTATTAATAGGTATAAGGGTAAAGTTGATCATTGAAACATTTGATTACTGTGTGGTGACATTTGACGTTTCCTTTCTGTCATATTTATATATTCGCTATTATTGTCTTTGGTAGGAAATTGAAAAAAAGTTAAAAGTTAGCGATCCTTTATTTCAAAATATAATATTTAAATATATTCAATATAATTTTATAATTCATAAAAAAAATTATTAATTATATACATTTTTATATTATATTACTTAGCTTTCTTTTTAAAAAAAAAGTCTATGGACCTGGAATCCAATGCTTAAGAATAGGTAAAAAATATATATTTGAATCAATCTGTGACAATTGACAGCGGTTTGCATAATATTTTTCAAATGCATTTAAAATAACGGTTTGACGTTGAACAAAGTAGGATTTAATTGGATTTTGTTTTAAGTACTTCGCTGAATTTACCATGTCTAAAAATTTTATAACGAGATATCGAGGTGAAGTTTACGATACACCTAATGGAAAATTATATATCAAAGATGAACCAATCTCACCAACGGAAGAAGATTTCGGTGTTCACTATAACTTGGACTATCCCATAGAAGACAACTATGCTATGAAAAAATCACTTTCTATGAACGACATAGCTTCGCTCAAAGAAGATTTTCTCAAACTCGATGTTACTAGTAACCAGGATGACATGTATTCTAGATACAAGAAACATTGTGAAACCCAAATGCTATCAAAAACAAAGTTTGTTTCTGTCGCGGAAGCCATATATCACTATCAGAGAGATACACCAGATAGGTTTCACTCATCCAGACCTCGCATATTTCGTCCTCAACGTAACACTGGACATACTGGTTTGACTGTGCCCCAATCACCTATGTTAAGATGTAAGTCACGTTCCCGCCCTCAACATATACTATCTCAAAAAGAAAAGGAAGAGATGGAACTGCAAGAAATTAGGAAATTTAAATTAAAAGCTAATCCTATTCCTAAAAGTGTGATTGAAGGTCCTAAGCATCTTCCAGAAGTGTCGAAGAAGCCTATTACAGTCCCAGAACCTTTTAACCTGACTGAAATTCAAAAGAAGGTTGCTCAGACTAATGACCATGTTCAGAACTTCAAGGCAAGACCTGCACCTAAACATATTCTTGAGAAACCACAAATCCCTCCTAAGCCACCGTCTTCTTTAACAAAACCGGTTAGCCCCAAATTTCATTACAAGCGAGCTAATTCTGCCGATCACTTAAAGAATGATATTAAAAAATTTAATCCATGTGTTAATGCCAAAAAGCCTGAAAAGTGTGAAAAAACCATGCAACGTCTTGGTCCTTGCAAGCCTGAACCATTTTCATTTGAAAAAAGAGATGAAGAATTAAAGAGAAAGAGGGAAGAACGCATCAAGCAACAGATGGAAGAGGAACGGAGGCTTGCCAATCAATTCAAGGCCCAGCCATTGCCGGCAGGTGTCAAGAAAAGAATGCAGAACATTCAGTCTAGCCATCCATCAGATGCCTCGTCTGAGAACAAAGAAAACCAAACCCATGTAAAGTTTGAAGCAAAACCTCCAGTTGTTCTCTACAAGGAACCATTCAAACCGGTTCTCAAACCAGTCCAACTTAAAAAACCGATGCCATTCGATTTAACAACAACAAAGAGAGCAGCTGAAAGGGAACTATTTGAAAAACAATTGAAAGAGAAAGAAGAGGAAAATGAAAGATTAAGACTTCAAAAGGAGAGGGAAAAGCAAGAGGCCGAGGAACGAGCTATCGCTGAATTAAGATCGAAGTTGGTACATCATGCCAAACCAGTACCACCATTACAGCCATTCGTTCCTGAAAAATCTGATGCCCCTATAACAGTTCCAGAAACACCGAAATTTGTTAGAAGAATGAAACAACATTAACTAGACTTAATTTTAGAATTTTATTATTGATCATGAATATCTTTACTTTTAGACTAATTTAGTTTCTACATGACATGTTCTTGTTATAAACTCGTCCGTAATAATGGACTGTGTGAAATTTTTAAAAAATAATTATGGATTGTAAATTTTCAAACTGAATATAAATACAAAAAAATATATATTTTTGTTTTATTTTATTGTGACCCAATTTAAATTGAATATAATATTTACTTTTAAAGTCTATTATTGTTATAATATGTTTATTGTTTTGTTAAACTACATATTGAATTTCCAATCAATTTTTAATTTCTCAAGGTTTTTTTAAATTCTGTTTTGAATTCCTCTGTAGCTTCTCTGTATTAATCCAAGGAAAATCTTGAAATTGTCATTTAAAAAAATTACTTTTGTTACTATTATAAATACAGTGTCTAAATTTCTTCCCTTGGTTACTTAATGTATCCATGCCAATATAATAAACAATTATTTCTATCCTAGAAACGACCCGGCAAGTCAGCCGAAGAGTTGCAAGAAGAAGAAGAGTTGCAACTAGCTCTGGCTTTGAGTCAGTCAGAAGCTGAACATAAGGAGAAGGAACGCAAGTCAAGATCTTACATCGCACCAGAACAAACACTACATCCTACCAGTAATGTTTATAGAAAATTAATAAACAATTTCCTTTCAAACTTTGATAATGAGTTTAAGTATATACGAGTAACAAACTTTTTGGGATTAAGGCCTTTAAGTATGTCTAAGTAACCAAGTATATTCAGGTTTAAGCCTGGAATTCAATATTGGGTCCATGTCAAGCTTTAAGCGCTTCCAGGGTTTGTTTAATTTGTTAATGCGTAAAAATCTTTGAATAATTAAACCTCATCAATTGATAAATGTTAAAAGTTAAAACCGTTACATACCCATATATCTACATTTATATTTTATATTATAAAAACTTGAAATAGACAATTATTTTTATTGTACATATATTTTCCCACTATCAGCATTTGTATACCATAGATAATGAGATCTAAGATTTTCGCGAATACTCATTTAAATGAAACTAATATTTTCGGATTTTACTTCTCGTTTTATTTTTGATTAGAAACTACATACTCCCGACGTTTCGGTTACTTTTCAGCAACCGTGATCACGGGCAGACGAGATGTCTCGACGAAATATTAGTTTCATTTGTATGAAATTTGTCCATAGGGTCTATAGATTTTCTTTTTAAATCTTACGCTGATTGTACTTTAATGTAAAAATGGATAATAATTCCAGTTTCTCCTACACCCTCATCTGTGAGTGCGTCCCCTGAACACAGTACCGCTAACTCGGAGCTGTCTCGCTACTTGGACAGGAATTACTGGGAACAAAGACTGTCAAGGGATCCCGCTGCACCTACAGCTCCTTCTTCGCACGCCACCAATGAAACACCTGATGTAAATACTAACCATTGTTATTAAATACTAGCTTTCCTCCCGCAGCTTCGCACGCGTGGAGATCGGTTATATCGCGTTTCAAAAGTCTGGGATAAAAACTATCCTATGTTCTTTCTCAAGGTCAACTCCATCTCTGTACCAAATTTCATTAAAATCAGTTCAGTGGTTTAGGCGTGAAAGCGCAACAGACAGACGGACGGAGTTACTTTCGCATTTATAATATTAGTAGGGATTACAAAACAAAAATGCTCATGTATTGTCATATAAAATGTGAACTATGTGTTTTCATTGCTCTAATTTTTTTTATTAATTAATTTTAATTTGTCATATGTAATGATTTTTATAATATTGGTATTTTCATTCCTCATACTATACATCACTCAGTTTCACTTAAGTATTACAATGGTTAAGCTAAATATAACTTCACGAATTGTTTACTTTTTAGTTTGAGATGTGTAATTAAAGTGACCAAACACAAATTCTGATGTTTTTCGTCAAATTTTCATATTTTATTAAATAGTAACTAATTTATTGATTGAATAATATAAAATTTCAGCAAGATTTTACAAAACCTACTACTAGTAAGGGACAAGAAGATGAAGCAGAGGATAAAGAGATTGACGAATTTGTCGAATCACTCAAATCACAAGTGGAGATATTTGTTAATAGGATGAAGAGTAACTCGTCACGGTAAATTAGAATTTTTAATTAAAAATAGCTATTAATTTAAAAAGTACAGAAAAAATTAGTATAAAAAGGACATATTTTAACATTTAATCACATGTTTTTTTTCAGTGGACGTTCAATCGCCAATGACACGTCTGTGCAAACATTATTCATGAATATAACAGCAATGCACTCAAAGTTGCTGAAATACATTCAACAGCAAGATGATAAACGAGTTTATTTAGAGAGTTTGCAGGTAAATATTTGAAATATTTTATTTGTAATAAAATCTAAATTCGTAATATCTATCATGTGTTTTTTGTGAGTAATTTAAAATTAAACTTTAATGTTATTACTAGGATAAGATTAGTCAAGTGCGTGATAGTAGAGCTGCTCTTGATACTCTACGGGCTGAGCATGCAGCTAGACTGGCTCAGGCGGCTGAGGCTGCTGAGAGGCAGAGACAAATGCAAATGGCCGCCAAGTTACAGGCAATGAGGAAGAAGAAACATGAGTACTTGCAGTACCAAAGACAATTGGCCCTGCAAAGAGTTCAGGTAATAATGTTATAGAATCTTGTTAATGTTTTTTACAACTATAAAATTATCTATTTTAAGCGATGACTTGTTAACGATTTTCGCCTGTTCCAGGAACAAGAAAGGGAAATGCAAATGAGGCAAGAGCAACAAAAACATCAGTACATGATGTCAGCCAACAGCGGTTTTTACATGCCTGGTGTTTCGATGCACCAATTCCAGCCTGGTTATCCCAATCAACCAATGTACGCCAATTCTCAATTCCATCCACAAATGATGTCCCAAGCGACAACCGATGGTTCCATGCCTTTACCTGGACAGCCACAAATGTCACAAGCCAATATACCAATGAATGTGAATCAAATGCCAATGTCCCAATCTATGCCACCCATGACAAATACTTTTGCTATGTCCACATCTGGTATGGGAATAAGCCAACCTGGTGGTCAACCTGCAATGAACCAATCTAATGTGAGGCCAGTAATCAGCCAGCAATTACCCATTCAACAACAAATGATGATGCAGCAAATGCAACAAATGAGAATATCCAACCAACCAGGTGTGCATCAAATGATGCAGCAAAATGGCCATCCCTCGCAAAATATGCAAACACAGAATCAACAGTCCTCTCAACAAATTCAGAAACAAAATGTCCCAAATCAACCACCCAGCTCTATGATGCCTCCGATGGCTATAGGTCAAGCAAACATGAACCAACCTAATCCTAGCAACCCTATGTTTGGAATGCAAATGCCAAACATGAGAATGTCAATGATGCCGGCCAATCCACCCAGTAATAACCAACAAGTCCCAGTTTCTGGATACCCAATGCATGTGCAAAATCCTCAAAATAATCAACCAACTGGGACTCAAATGCCTAATGTGCCTCAAATGCCATTACTAGGCCAACAATTACCAATGCCAAACCAGCATATGATACAAGGGCAGCCCATTCAAGGTGGTCAACCTCAAGGACAACAAATGCCACATCAACCACAAATGCACCAAAGTCAATCATTACCACAAGGGGGCCAATCTCAGGGACCACAAATGCCACACCAACCACAAATGACCCAAAGCCAAACGTTACCAATGCAAGGTCATCCCTCACAAACACAACCACAACAAAACATGATGATACAGCATCCAGGTCAACCTATGCATCAAGGACAACAGATCTCTCAGACCAACACACAAGCTATGAACCAAGGCCAACAAATACCGAATCAGATGCCAGCTAATATGCCTCAAATGATGCAAGGTGCTATGCAACATAATTCACAAATGCAGGTTCCCACAATGTCTAATCAGGGTCAACAGCAAGCACAACAGAATATGCAAGGTCAAACAATGAAGCAACCGTCTTTTGGCAATGGCCCTCCAAACCAGCAGCCCGTAAACAACCAACAACAACCACCGACCCCATTAAAGTCTGAACATAACAATAACACTGCAGAGTTGATAAGTTTTGACTGAATCTAAAAATTCAAGTCCGAAATAGTTTTATTTATTAGTATTGTTAAATGGTAACTATAAAGGTTATTTATATTAAATATTTTCGCAATAACTCACTTAGTAATATATGTCATGGTGTTAAATTTTGTGATAATTTTAAGAATATATTATACTCAGCTTTCAATATGTTGACCTTTTCAAATTATAAATTAATCTTATCCTAGACAGCAAAGTTCATCACAAAGTTTTTGAAATAATATATAACATTATTTGCAAATGGTAGCCAATATAGATTTTAGATAAAATGCCTTGTAATCTATGTAAATGTGCTAACTGTAAAAATATGTGTTGGTATTTAGCTTATTTAGAAAAATAACTAAAGAAGATAGAAATTCTTATTATTATTATTCCTGCATATTGTTGTTTTATATTATTTACAAATAAGTTATGATGTATAGTAATAATAAATATCCCTTAAAACTTTTTTTATTTGTCACCGAGTCTATTAAAAAATCGCTTCAATTATTCAGTTTTTTGACATTTGTCATTACAAAACATTTGAATATCAAGAAACCATAATTTAGTTAGACTTTATTAGGATTACTAAATTTAAAGTTTATCATATAAAATTAGTTCTTGCATGCAATTTCACCTGATAACAAAAAAAAAGTTGCAATTACTATGCAATATTGCTTATTTTGGTAGTACATATTCACTTTTTGTAAATTTTTAAGACTTAATTTTAACGCCGATGTGGATTCGTATTTTATTTCTATAATTTTGGATAAGTGATGCTTTCATCCCTTTTGCACTGTTGATTCAACTTTATGGTACGGATAGAACATAAAAAAGGAAAGTCGATCCCTCTCCCTCATTCATTACAAATTGAAAAGGCTTAAAACACCAAGACGTAGGAAAGTTCTATTTCCTCCCTGACTTTTTAAATTTTTTATTAAGGCAAACAACAGGTTACCATCACATTGAGAATATTTCTTAAACATTAATAGTATCGAACAGATTATAACCCTAAGGGTTCATGCAAGACATGACGGGATTGCCAATTATTACAGTTAACAAATTCCAATAGAGGGGATAACTATGTATTAGTACTAAACAATAACAACAGTAGGTATATCAAGAACATAATAAAAATAAATTACATGGACTAAACAAAATAAAATATTAAAAGTGATATTCAATGAAGCTACACTAATTAAATTTACAAGAAGAAATTAAAATTGCCAAAAGATTATAATAACCAATCTATGGCACTCGTCGGACGAGGCAGTGTAGTCGAAATCTTAGCCTGCTCGTACTTAAGAAAGTGTTTAAAAAAAAGTGCTGTCATTTATGTTGACAAAATAATTGGAAAAGCGAAGCGGGAAAAGTATTTTTGATTTTGACATTATAATTTAAAATATCGTTTGTAGGTACAACATACTTTACAGTTTACAAAAAATAAGTCGTATTATACAAATTATATAAAACTCTGAAAGTTTTTCTTGCTTTAAGTTTAAATAGCAAAAGTTTCTAGTAAGTGTCATATTAAACACAAAAACTTTAAACCGTTTAATATTTTGGTGAATTTTTTAAAATATGGAAGAAGAGAGTGATGGCCCTTTTAATGTTTGGCAAATGTTTAATGCTCCAATAAATGTATTGTTCCAAAACCTGGAGCACGCAGAAGATGGATTAGTTACATTGTTGACTTCCATTTTAAAGTTATCAGGGTATGGTATGATTATGATTTGATGATTAGAAAACTGAGAATAATTGTTTTTAATAATAACCTTGAAAATCTTCCGCACCGGATATGATACTACATTAAAATCAAACATATAATAAAATATTGAATTTTTCACTATTTTATGATTTACTTTATGACAGAATATTATCATCTTGTTGATTTAGTTTATAAAGTTTTATATACCAATTTTTCAATGCTATTTCTCAACTTATAATAAGTTTAATTTAAAATGTTCTTATTGTAGAGACTTTTCTGAAGTGTTGGTTCCTCGACCAGGAGGTTTTAAGTGTCCAGAATCATACTATCGTGCTTTTAACACATGGCTTATTGGAAGACTATTTTATATAAACTCCGTGAAAGCACTTTACAGGTAATTAATAGCTATTATCAAAATTATGTTAAAACAATTATCAAAACTTAAAACCATTTTCATTAACATAATGTTGCATAAGTATTACATATTCCTTTAAATAATTTTATCATTATTTTACATTACTTTTTGTTAAGAACATTTAAAAATGTAGTTATTTAATAATTTCAGGATTCATGAAACTAGCAAAGATGCGCAACTAAAAATTTTAAATATTTTGTGCATTAATGGAGCTTCGTTTTACAAAAAAGTCCACTCAGAATATTATACAATTTTAACTAATCTTTTACAATTTTACTGTGATTATGCAAAAAATAATGAAATAGAGTTAAAATTACAGAATTTTACTCCAGAACAAGTTCAAATACCAAATGTTAATATTAAATTGGAACCAATATATGTAAAAGTTAATGATCTTGCTACATGCAAAACTTTGATAAGCATAAATTTAAGATTATTGGCTGAAAGTATCCCACCCAGTCTTCTTTGTAATAAGACGGGCCATGAAAATGGTCTTTTTGATAAAATATTAAATGCAATAGAAAATTTTAGTACAGATATGAAATTAGTAGGATTAAAATTCTTCAATAATTTGATTATGAATATCCGAAGAGTACCTGTAAGTGAGTTCCAAGAAATGTTTCCAAATATTTATAATAATCTACTTCTTATCATAAAAGCTTTGATACAAACATTGAATGTACTGCATGATAAAGGTGAAATTGATAATATGATGCTGATTGATTTTAATTTATTATATATAGAACTTATTAAAATTATTGGAGACAGTTTGAAAATTGAACACAAAGAGGATTTCACAGATATATGCAATGTTGTTCTTAGCAATACATCCAACAGAATCTTCAATAAAGATCTGAAACTGCTTTGTTTATCAATGAGTGGAAAAGTACATTTAAATGATGATTATTTAACTATTGTGGATATGGATTGTGATGAAATAAATTGTCTGGCAGATTTCTATTGTTCTCATATACTTGAACATATTAATACTGAAAGAATAAAAGATAAACCAATTGATTTAAAGGAAAATATTTATCTGAATAGAATTATATCTGTGATAACATCTGTAAAAGCTTGTGATCAACCAAATATTGATATATTTCTTATAAATCATCACTTATCCAGATGTCTAAGTGCCTTATGTGTTTTAGAGAAAGTTATTATACAAAATGTTAATAAGGTAGATACAAATATGATAAGTAAACAAGGAATTAATCTGGTCTGGTTAACATTAGTAAGGTTGATAAAAGAGAAGAAAGCTGTTATAATAAGTAATGAAACAAGTATAAAATTGATAATGAATATCATTGTGAGTACAGTAAGCTTGCAAACAAATTTGATAGCAGATGATGTCAACATAGTACTTCAACTCATATGCTTCCAAGAATCTGATGTGTTCACAGAACAGAACTTTTCATTCACTAATAATATTAAGTTGAATATCTTAAAATATCTGCTAGTGAATAAACTCATTATTACGAAGAACCCTGCATATGAGAAATGGAATAAAATTATAACATTCCTGTACAGTTCATTGATGGGAAATAAGAATTCATTTCAATCTAAACAGGTATTTGTGAATTTAATATTGTTATAATGCATCTTCTTTTATAATAAATAATAATTCATTTGAATGACCAATCTCCTAGGATTTATTTTTTAGAGACTTGAACCTTATCTAAAAATATTAAGTCTTATGAAATTACGGTTTTAATAAACTCTGTTCAATAAAATTAAATTTAGTTTTAAGTTACTTTCTTGCGATATTCCAAAGACTGAGGGTTCAAATCCTGTTTATGCTGATCATTTTGTTAATTAAATATTTTATTTAATTATTAACATAACACTTCTTTTGTATTAAAAAAAAAATACTTATAAAAGTCTGTTTAGTGATGTATGTTTTCATGTATTAATGAAAACTTCTTAATATAAACAAACTATGCAAGCCAAGTTGCTAGTATCAGTAGTAAAGAACATTTATAAATTTAATATGAGAAGAACTTCTCACTTTAGGTCTATTTAGCTGTCTAATGAAATCTTATTTTATGTTTTACAGATTATTGAAATGTGTCCTCTGTTTTTGGTAAACAAAATTTTATCTGCAAGCAAAATTATTGGAGAGATTTTAATGCCCGCTTTCATGTCCAAAGAAACCAGTTATCAGATTGAAGTGTTAAGAATATTACCATCAGTTGTCTGTATTTCATTAGGAAGTTATGATATTGTTAAAACTGTATCAAGCGGTAACATTCAAGAAATATTCAGTAACGAAAATTTCTCTTTAAATGTTATTTGTAACAAATGCAAGGATTTGACTATAAAAAATAGCAAAATAGTCCACAAAGAGACTGAGATGTTGACTTCGTCTAATACTTCCTATTTGAGTGGTTTACAAAGTTTATTTGTAAAATTTATTAATACAAAAGATACTGAATTTGGTACAGACTATTGGAATTTAGTACAGAGGCTTTGCAATGTTTCAACAGATATAATACAAGAAAAATATTTAGATGATGTCTTAAACACTTTTAAACCCTTCATTGATGTTCAGGTGAGTGATGAATCATAGAACATTATTTTAGTAACAAATTACATTCAAATTACATGTTTTCATAATTTCAGAATAACAAAGGCCAGGATTGGATATCAAATCGTGATATGATAATGAATTTATGTGTGAATCTTCTCGTTAAATCAACGTTAAGAAGTCTAGAAAATAATGATTACAATCACCAAACTCAGACTTTAGACTGGATTAAGAGTGTGGGTCTATGTAGTAATGAAAAGTTAATCCTGCCAATAACAAAATTATTAGTCTGCTTCATAATGCATCCACAGTGTTCTTTAGCACCAAAGGCTATCGTTTATTTAAGAGATGTTTGCGAATATCAAGATCTGACGCCAAGTCAAGTATATCACAGATATAAGAAGGATTATTGCAAGTTGTTTGTGGAGTGCATCCTTTATAATGGAAAAGATTTTGCTATTTTCCTTCTAAAAGTCGTTAGAGCATTCGGATTTGTTGGATACAGAGATTTTATATCCAAAGATATCCATCATTTTCTGCCTTATCTCATACCATACTCGGTGACTGTAAAGGAAGTTCCATCTATGATAGAAGAGATTGCTGTTCTGGTGCAATGCTCGGTCTCAGATTTCCTTATTGAGAGGTTCCCTCACATATATGTTCATGTCTATCTGACAGAATCAAAGGAAACATCAAAAAAATGCTTTGATATCATTGAGAGATTGACTAAAACGTCCACTCTGAATCTAATAAAGAAACATTTTAGGGTGATTTTGACGGAGTTTCTTTTGCAATACTGCTGTAATAAAAGAAAAGTTTTGGAAGCTTGTAAATACTTGGCCTATCACGACCCAGACGTTTCTTCATCTCAAGGCAATATTCTTAAGAGTTCAGCACAAGTAGCAGACTTTCTTAATCCGAAATTTTTAGGTGTCTTAGCTTACTTTGACCATAAGCTCGTGAACGCCAAAGTGGCTCTATCAGTTAAACGTAAAGCGTTAAAAAGTTTTTCTGACATAATACAATTAATGGGTATTAGATATTTAACGCCGTTAAGGTTCAAAATTTTGGCCACCTTGAGATCAGCTTTGCCTTTAGCAAAGGAATTTCCCATTATTCTTGCAGAGGCATGGTCTGCCTTCATCCACAATATTGACAGCAGTTCTTTGGGACCCCTATTATCTAATCTTGCGGCTCCACTTTTGCATCAGATCGAATACGCGCCAAATGAAATAAATAGTACATTCCAATATATGATTTTGAAAAATGAAAATCTCCTCAGTTCACATATATCAAATTTGTTTTTTTTGGAAGATTCAAATGTATCGGATAATGTGAAAATGGTGATTAAGGGACACGTTAAAAGATCACAGCCGGAGAGTTTTCAGGATAAAATAAAATGGTACTTGCAGCATTTGAATCACGACATACCTATTATTAAGGCAAACGTCTTCTGTCATATGGAGAAACTATTGAAGAGTAATAGGAGTGAAATACATAGATCTATATTCGGTGGAAGAGCGATTGAGGCGGTCATTGTTGAACTCATTGATTCTTTACTGATCGGTAAGAATTTCTTAAGTTTTTTTAGTGCCCTTAATATTTACAAAAATATATATTTTACATTTAAAATAGTCCATACTCCATTGCATGAACTGAAGAGTGAAATTTGTAGGAATTTACTTTGTTATGAATCAATTCCAATTATTTTATATTTATTTATCACTACGAATGAATGGACAATATTATATTCCGCCAATGCTGCTAAAATCAAACGAATATTGGCCAAAGTTTTAACCAGCACAGACATACGTCTTAGAATCGTAATAAAAACTATCTGTTTGTAGACTTATCAGAAACTGTGTTTACTTAAAGGTTGCAAGGACATTAACCCTCAAGTGTCCCTGGCGAGTGGTTCCTGTTTAGGTCAACTGGGTGCCATAGAAGCCGGTCATCTCCCGCGCCAGTACGTCCAACCTGATAGATCTCCATTCGCCTTCTTCATTAACGACGATTGCTTTGCCGCTACGGCTCTCACTGAACTGGCTAGAGCTTTTCAATACGAAAAGGATACTATGGTGTGATTTATATTAAATTGTCTGTATGTATGAAATGAATGTATTGCTTATAATATTTTTATACCAACAGAACATGGACTGCTACGCTTTAACTATACAGGAGATATTGAAAATTTATGGCATATCCCCAAATGGCTCTAAGAAGGAAGTGTGGGATAGTTTCTCAGAAAACATGCATCAGTTAATGTCACCACTGCTGAGTTCTAGGTATTGCTTAAGCATGATATTTGTATATGACTTTATATCTTTTTTTATTATTGTGAAATATTAAAATCGTCTCTATTCAAAGGTACACATTGGCTTATCCATCGCAGCCAAAGAAAGTTCATCCTTTATTCGGATCGATGCACGCTACTACGTTTTTGGAATGGGCACATAAGTAAGATATGTTACAACATTTTGCAACATCAGATGTTTTTTTATGTTAATATAAAATTAATATCTGGTAACCCAGTTTTGCTCGATATTTTATTATTTTAAATCATGTTCATTACTAGTATTGTCGGAATGTACTGTTAAATAACATAGAAGATGTTATGTCGCTACAGCAGGATTAAATAATTTCTAGCTTTATTTTGACCTGAAAAAAATAATTAAAGTTAAGACAACAAGATTGATTACTTAAAATTTTATGAAAACTATTCGAGCGGTTTCCGATTTACAGATTATTTATATGTATAAAGTGGTTTAAATATATTGTGTTAAATGCATTGTAACGGTATTAATATTATATCAAAATAAGTCTATATATTACATTCTAATATTTTCAGTTGGTCGGGACAGCTGATTGACCTGATAGAATCCAACGATATAAAGGATCTTCTCCGTACAGTTCATCCCAGTATGCGGCGTGACGTTCGAACACTATTCCTCTTCCTTCCATATGTTCTGTTACACGCTATAATGTCCAAAACTAACATACGGTACATACAAGAGGAGATATTGGCCGTTATAGGTAACTATCACATACATATTTATATTTGTAATAATTTCCGACTTCAGAAAAGGAAGGTCGTGATTTCGTTTTATAATTCTTGTGTGAATATTCGTTGAATATATTACGAATTAATATTTTTTGTGCATTTTGTTTCATTAATATTAGAAGATAAAATGAAGGGATTTGTTATTATTCATAGTCATAGAAAATCACTGATTATAACTATAATACCTTGTCTTTATTTATATTCTATATAGTTGCATGTCTATGGTACGTCTCAGTTACAGATGTATTGTGAATATGTATTGTAAGAATTAAATCAAAAATATATTTCAGGAGGTCAAAACTCTAAGAATGACTGCAGTGTCTCTGCAGAGAGATCGAAGTATAAAATATTAAAACATATTAAAATGACGCCAAACATAAATCCTGTCCATACAGAAGAAGGGAATCAAGTAAGATTGTACATTTATTTATATTAAGAATTACGTTCATTTCTTAGAGAAAAAATTATTTAATACAATAAAACATTTTTCAGACGAAATGCAGCAAAACTATATACACTCTATTTGACTTCTTGAATCGCTGGCTCCTTGAATGGACTAATGTTAAACAGAAACCGTTAGAAAACGAAAACTACAAGTAAGTTATTAATGTTTTTAAAGTGAAACTTTTTATGCGACTTCTGACAAGGTTGCGTTGAACGTTAAACGCTATCAGGGAGGGGGGAGGATAAAAAGAAACTGAACGCATGCGGGAAATCAATTGTAAGTGACTTATAAGTCATGTTAATAAAATTTTGTCTCAAAGAAACACTAAAACTTCCTTAAAAAGAACCTCACCTTCGTTTTTACAATCCAATTCTCTCCTTCTGAGCGTAGGGATGCCACGCACATAATTTTTTTGTTTTATTAATAATTTTATATTTCAAATTCCTCATTATATGCTTATTAACAGGGCAATAAAGAAATTTATGGATTCGTTTGACAAATTGGCCATAGCAAGAGGGAATTACGCATGTGGAGAATTGGAACGTGCCTTGCAATATCTAGAAATGTATATGGACGAAGATAAGGACAGAATACAGGAACAGTTACCTTTTCTGGCTGAAATATACGCGCTGTTGGATGAACCGGATTCCGTGTCTGGTAAGTTTGTATTGTTCTGTGAAATAAATTTGTAATAATACTATATTGGGGACTAAAACTACATAGGAATACAATGATGTATATTTAAAAAAATATGGCAATGAAAATTCTTCTATCTTCATAACTTATAGTACATATATGGTAATGATGAATATCCATAACCTATAAAATTATAAAGTAAATTAATATACTTTACTCAGAACATTTCTCTATATCTTTATACAATTCTTTATGTAATTCTTCTGTGAGTTTGTATGTCACTGAACTTCTCTCAAACGACTGGACCGATTTTGATGAAATTTTTTGTGTGTATTCAAGGGGATCTGGGAATGGTTTAGATTCACAATGTTGTCTGCTGGACAATGTTTTTATAATTCATTTCTTATTTATTAGTAGTTGTTGATACAAACGTATTTTTTATATTAGATTTGACAACTAACTTATATGTCAATCATTCTGTCGCACTTCAATACAAGGAGATTTATGGCTTTAATAGGTAAACTCCAAAAATATAAATAAAGAAACATAACAGATATTTCTTGATTATAGGGCGATACGAAGTTCGCCGGTTCTCCTAGTAGTACTATATAGTAATTTACACGTGTAATGTTCCAGGAATCCTCTCTATCCAGCGCGCTGAGCCGTCGTTGCAGGAGTTGATCCTCGTGCAGGTAGTGACCGGCCGCTTGCAAGACGCCGCTCTGTGTTACGAACGTCTGGCTCATAGACACCTCGACGAACACAGTCTGCAGGTTATTATTATTATTACTAAAATTTAAAAATAATACATAAATTGTTACAATATAATACAACAATAATATAATTAATTAATTAATTTGTTAATTAGCTAATCGGCTGAGCCGCACATACGCGACTCACCACTGTACCATCCCTAGACTGAGTAGTCCATAGTACATACCATGTCTTGAAAATTTTCTTTGTAATAAAAAGCTTATGTATTAACACTCCACATTAATATTTGGTTCATAAAAATACAAATATTGTGTGTAATGAAACGCAAAACTAAAGAGTTAATGTATAAAGGCTAGTCTATGTGTCAGTAAATTTTATAAAGTAAGAAAGTATAAAAGTAATTGATTTAAATAGCAATGTTATATTCGAATAAGACAGTTAAGTAACAGTAACAAAGTTAAAGTAGCGGATTTTAACAACACTCAAGTTCTATATAAGTTCATCAGATGTAGAAAATACCTGTGACATTTTTCCACCTTCCAACGGATGAACCGTAGTCGAATTATAGATACCAGATATAAAATAGTTTTAAGAGTAGTATCTATGATACTAGATAAAAAAAATTACTCTGTTCTATTTACTAGTTGAGATGTCAAAAGTTCTGCAAGAAAACAAGAATTTATTCGAAATTTATTTTTAACAAACGATGAATATAAAAAAAAAAAAAATTGAAGTAGGACAAGATAAAGTAGAACATTTTTAATTAAAAGACTTAATTTTAACTTTAAATATTTCATCGTTTTATTTTCGATGACAACTAACAATCGTAGCCCCAAAGGAAAGGATATTTTTTTTTTGTAGGAAAAGTTTTAAGGCCTGTAAGCAAAATACTGTCATTGCGTGGCCACAAGGGAGACAGCTGAAAATCAGCAGAGGGGTAAAAACCCTCATAGCCTGAGCTGTCTCCTTTGGACTGCACACATGTGTTATATCAATTATATTAATTTTCTTTATTTTTGTAATATTGTTTTTATATCTTTTTTTGTATAATGCTGTTTTTTTCTTTGTCTGTCAATCAATGTCTTTTCTTTTTTTCTTTCTTTCAAATATCATTAAAAACATTTCAGTGTTTTAACGTCTTTTTAGTTTTCTTCAGGGAGGTCAAAAAGAGAAAATGCTTTGGATAAGATTATTTATTTAGACAACATAACTTATTAAGTTAAAAAAATATATTGGTGTGAATATAATAAAATTAATTTCCGATTACAATAAATATATGATAACTAGTTTTCCGCCCGCAGCTTCGCCCATGTGGAGTTTGTTTATATCGCGTTTCCAAGAGAACCTTTCAAAAGTCTGGGATAAAAACTATCCTATGTTCTCCCTCAAGGTCAACTATATCTCTGTACAAAATTTCATTAAAATCAGTTCAGTGGTTTAGGCGTGAAAGCGTATTTTCCATTGTTTACCCCCCGCAAACCCCCTTGAGGGTGGAATTTCGTAAAATCCGTTCTTAGCTGACGTCTACTCGGCGAAAGGAATAATCCTACCAAACTTCAAGTCGCTACGCCTTATGGTTCCAGAGCTATCGTGATGAGTCAATATATAGGTGGAGATCTCTTTTATATATTGTTGTTGTTCTCCCCAGGGCATGACTGATTGCTACCTCGCCCTGGACCAGCCCTTCACAGCTCTCCGTCTGCTGAGCGAGCGTCAGCACGAGCCGCCCGTCGAGCTGTGCGCCGAGCCGCTCTGGAGGCTGGGGCGGTTTGAACAGCTGGAACAACTCACTGATACACCTGTAGTCAGTACTTTATAATATTACTAGTTATATAATTCTAACATTTTAGAAGAATTTAACTTGAATTACTATAATACATATATATACAATAAATACTTATAATTAAAAAAATATTTATATATGTATAATGAAACGACCAGGTCTAAAACCCGCAACCTCCGAAATATTACGTTCAAGTTGCTCATTTAAATATTTTGTTGTTATTTCTGTCTTATTACGCTACTTAGATTATTCTTCCCATTTTCATTATTGTGTTTAAGATTTATTTGGTTAATTTAGTAATGTTTTTTTTTAAATGTAATTCATATAAAACATGTAATCGGATATTTATTGTAAAATTTTATGAGATTAAAAAAAATTGCGCGTATTTATAGTAATAAAACGAATATTTTTAGGATTTACTACTCCTTTATAATTATTTTTTATAGTCCCGATGTTTCGGTACTTTCAGTAAACGTGATCACGGGCAGACAAGATGTGACTGTCTGTTGGTCTTGTTATTCATCATCGACCGCCAACGATTTCTTAATTATCTGACAAACCGCACTTACTGTTAAACATTTATTAAAAATCGTCTAATATTTAATATAAATAATTCTGTTATTTTCAGCCTCCATCCCGTGAAAACTGGGGTCTGCTTATGGGTAGAATTCTTCTGGCGTACCGAAAACAAGATGAAGATTTATTCAAAGTGACGTGTGATAACGCAATAAATAGATTGCTCCTACAGATGGATGGAGAGAGTCAGGGTGAAAACGCTCTTAGAAGTGGATATCAAAGCGTTCTTGGTTTGCATATCGTGAAAGAAGTGCAACATGCGCAGGAGCTATTACGGAGGTGTGTTGTTTATGGCTTTTTAAAAAGGAGGTGGCTTTTTTATATCCGACTCTATATTATTTTATTCATCACTAGCTTTCCATCCGCAGCTTTGCCCGCGTGGAGATCGGTTATATTGCGTTTCTGAGAGAACCTTTCAAAAGCCTGGGATAAAAACTATCCTATGTTCTTTCTCAAGGTCAACTCTATATCTGTACCAAATTTTATTAAAATTAGTTCAGTGGTTTAGGCGTGAAAGCGTAACAGACAGACAGACAGAGTTACTTTCGCATTTATAATATTAGTAGGGACTAGGGATTACGTTTCATTTCAAATACTAAACACAAATCTATTTACTATTCCAGTTTAAAGAACTTACAAGATGGAAACGAACAGAGCACTGAAATGATAAACACACTTCTTAGTGAATGGCGTCTGAGGCTAGCCGTAGTACAGTCCGACGTGAGAACTATTGAACCGTTGTTACGACTTAGAAGGATATTGCTGCAGCAAACACAGGTGACACTAACTAATAAATTCCTACTATACAGATATGTATATTACTTGAATTATTATTCCTACTATATGTATATTACTTGAAATAATATGTATATATTTATAAGAGCAATTTATATTAACGTTTTTATATCCGCAGGAGCTCTTAGAACAAACACACGCCGCAACGGCTAACAAGTTGAAGGCGTGCATCGGAAATTTGTGGCTGCAAAGTGCGAAACATGCAAGAAAAGCCGGTATTTTTCAACAGGTATTATTGCTATTTATCGATTTCGTATACACCTAATTCTAAAGAGTATTTAAAACGATAAATAATAATGTAAAATGTTCATTAAGTCCTACATGTACATCCTCAACGCTGAAGAGTATAAACCGCCGGAGTTGTTCATAGAAAAGGCCAAGATGTACTGGTCACGTGGACAACACGAGTCAGCCTTCACTACACTGAAGAGAGGACTCGAGGAGGCGTTCCCCTCCACTGACACGCTCACACCGGAACAGAGGTACTTACATGTATATACAGGGTGACTGGTGAATTACTATCAATATTTAAGGACAATACTCGGTACGTGATTCTCATTCGAATTATGTAAAAAAATAGGCACTTAATTTTTGACAAAATTTCCGTATAAATAAATAAAGCGTTGACACGTTCCAAGTGTTCCAAGTGTGGACGCGTGCGGCGGCGTGCTGATACAACACGACGCCGCCGCACGCGTATGTGTGAGTGTGTGTGAATACCTAATCTGTAGGGTGTTCACACGATGCGTAATTAATTACATAACTTTTGGTTAACTTTACTTAAAAGTTTATTAATATTTATGTTATATTAATTTTTATTTTGTCATATATGATCGTCAAATATCACGTCCTCAAGTATCGATAGTAATTCACCAGTCACCCTGTATATAGATATACATGTATATATTTAGAGGTACTTACATGTATACAACGTGTAACATAATTAACGCACACCCTGAAAGTAGTTTGTTCAGAATCGGTATCTGGATCGATTTTTATAGTTTTTTATGTAGGTCACTTTTTGTTCTCAAATTTAGATAGAACTATGTAAATTACAGTCATCCTACGCACGCAACACCAACAGCGACAGTCGGCACACATCAAATACCTACGCACGTGTCCATTGACCTCCTAGATCAGCTGATTTTACGCCTCTCGACTTTTTTTTGTGGGGGCAAATTAAATCGCTAGTTTATAACACAGAAACAACAAGTTTCGAGGAACTAAATAATAAGATAATAACCGCCTTTGTAAAAGTGAAAAGTGACACTGCAGTATTATCTAAAATAAAACCACAACTGCGGAAACGGTCATTAAAGTGCATTGAACAAGGCGGTGGACATTTTGACAATGTTTTAAAACGACAACGCAGTGCGAGTGCATTAAGTTTGTTTATGATCTTTAAATTATTTTTAATATTTTGATTCACACCATTTAAACACGCCGATTTTGTCGTAGGTGTAGGTATTGTGGTGTCTAATCAAATCACGCATTATCAGCTGTTTAATAATTCTTATTTACAAATTTAATTTAACAAATCAGTAATTATAAAATATTGCCTTCACATTAAAAAAAAATTCAATGTCGACAATCTAAAGCCTGAAAAGTGTGATGGAAAGAAGAATCATAAATCATAATGTAGTTATTTCGTGTGCTTATTATTACCTACTTCTTATTATTGTTCCATGTTGACATCCGGAATCCATCTTGAGTCAAGCACCTGTCTTTTTAGCCTTTTTTGTCCAGTTTTCGCTCCCTTCCGGTGCAACTTCAGCCCTCTAATGTCAATTTGGCGGGAGAAAACTTGCACATTTTAACAAATTGATATTTCTTACCTCATTATAGCATCGTCTTTCAGAGGGTCCTTACAACGAATTTAAGGAACTGTTTGAATTAAAGCAATTGTAGGGAGTTAGGATGTTGAACGACGAGCATAAACTTTGTCTAGAACTCGAATTGCAGCTTTTGAAAAATGCTTTAATATCTCGAAAAGAAGTACGTCAAATACCTAGCTTAACTAAAAATCGTAGACTATTCTAGTGGTAGTAAAACAAATTTAAATACGCAATTATTATTAAAATAATAACTATATTAAAATAATATTAAAATGTTTAAGATTTGGAATACTCCAAGTAAACCAAAGATATTCCTTGAACTATTTGTGGTATTCGCGCTGATTTCATACAATCTTTAAGAGAAGATTTATGAAAACGAGTAACGGAGAATTTTTATCGTTCGACTTTACACACCATACCTCCGTTTTCAAAAAATATTATTTGATATATTGACTGTCTGCCTACATACAAAAAATGGGGCGGGGACAGATAAGGTATTAATAAATACCAACTATTAAAAAAACAGATCGATATCTGGATTAAGTTATATGTACCGAATTACATCTGTGGAATCATTAAAGGATTTCACATATCTTTGTCTTTAAAATGTTGTAAAGAGCTGATATTACACTCGGTTTTCTATGAACATTCTTTTCGATTCCTAAAAGCTACGATTTACAACGTGAGACATTTAATTTGAAACAGTTGTATAGCTTTGTTCATTTAAAACGTTTCCAGCTTTTCATTACAAACTGGAAACTGGTTAGCGAAGCCGGTTTTATGACAATTCTGTTTTCCCTGTTTGTTATATTTACTACACTTGCCAGTTTTTTTGGTTTACCATCGGCACCCCGAATACTGGCCTGCGTCACAGGTTGGATAGCAGAGTTTCTACGCCATCACTACATTAGATGCGTAGTTTATTAAGAAGATTTTTAATTGGCAAACCAACCGCCTCACATTCTGAGCGACCGGTTAGCCTTCACCATCAATATTCTGCAACAACTTGGCCGGACAATGAATTTCATTAAATCTGTGCTGTTTCTGACTCAATGTCCAGAATACCTAGGCATTTCATGGGACGCAAAACTGAACCCGAAGTCCCTGTCGGAACTGAAGTGCATCGCCCTACGCATGCGCTTCACTTCAGCATCAGATTGGCCAAGGCAGTTAGCTCCCCGAACAGGCCCAGCTCCTTTTGGGGAGACTTAACTTTGCCTCATTGGTTGTGTGCAGAGGGAGATACGGTCGTACACTGCATACCACAGGCGACAGTATCCCTCCCTTTAAATCACCTCAAAATACTTGCAGAACCACAGGTTCTCAAGTTACATTGATGGTTAAAAGCTTTCTTAGCTGCACTGCCGATACGTTTGGGCTCGGAAATGCATTACATAACAGCCGATGCCTTAGCAGTCGACCGAGAAGCGCTTATAGGAGAGACTGAGGCCCAGAAAACATGGCATGGCAAGTACAAAGAATCGTAAGCTAACCTAGAAGCTTTTGCCCACGAACAGAGTTGATTAAACGATGCCAACATTCTTATCTTCTCGGACAATCGAACAGTGGTATTGTATATAAACAAAGATGGAAGTACCAGGGCGGAAATTGCTCTGAACTTGACTTGACCGACCGTTGATATTGTTATCTAAAGCTCGGAATATGCAATGTCCGCCTTAGCACAGTATATTCCATCAGATAGATTCATCTGCGTAAGGGTACATCAGATAGATTCATCTGCGTAAGGGTCAGCACGGTAGTTAAACAATGGGCGACATTGAGTATAGCGGATTGAAAAGTTACCTACCACAACGCTTTCAGTCGTCAGTGAAGTTACGACCTTGCTTCGATATTTCCACCTCCTAACCTCGGGGCTATAATACCTGAACAATGCCAAAGGACGCTTCATAACAAAAGCTCCGACATGGCAAAATAGTCTTTGAGCAGAAGATCTGCTACATTGATCTCTGCAAGAGTCTTAACAAATTCCCAACCTTTATCAAGTCTTAGTAGACACCTTGACGTAAAATTCACCAGCTGAAGGTCCGGGATCTTCATTTGCGTATCGTGGCTAATTTCGGGTGGACGGAAATGACGTGACGGTTGAACGAGTAAGAGATAATCCCTTTCATTATCTAGCAACCTTTTGAAAAAAAAAAAAATAATAAAATAGAGTCTGTAGTGGTTAAGACGAGTAAGTGATTAAAAAAACTCATATTCACAAAACGTACCCTGTTACTTGTACCTATCTGTCTATCTATCTGTCTGTCTGTAACTATCGTTGTACATGAATCTTTTATTCTTACTTTTACTAAAGTTCCCTAAAATATAGATTTTGCATCAAACTTTATGTGTATATTCTCGTTAAACACATTCTTAAAGTTATTTCAGTAACCCAAAAAAGAAGAGTTCCACATCACCTATCTGGGACTCTTAAATTGTTTACAATATTTCAGCACACATCTGGTAAATGTAAACAATTTATAGTGTTTGCGGTGGCTAATAGAAATCCTCTGCCGCTGGCAGGAGGCCAGCCATGTGGGACCTGCTTTCCCTGGGCACCGCCTCGCTAGTGGCGACTCTGTCACAAAACCAGGGCTGCAAATGCCTTCCAGAATGGTCTGCCTACATTTACAGGTAGGGTCGTAGCTAGCTTACGCCTCGGAGCGTTAACCTTGACCCCCCCCCCCCGGGGGAAGCCGGGACTTCCTCATTGTAGTAGCAATCCTGCAGCTTTTATCGTCAGGACGTAAAGTCCATTATCTCACTTTATTAACAATTGAAGATTAAAAACTTATTGATAACGGTAATCCCGTTACATTTTGGCCACGATCCGAATGTAAGACTGATTAGTTACAGGCAGTCAGGAAGGAAAATTTTACAAAGCCCATTACAAGCCCGTTGTAGGACCCCCTTCCTCTATATAAGAATATCTAGTTATTGGCTCACTACTATCCCCGCCTAAAGTGCAGGCGCTCGTCACCGTTCTGCTCCGCGCTGGTCGTGAGGCTGCCAGGCGAATGCCGCCCTCTATTGGGGTACATGAGACTAGTGTGTTAAATCTATTGTATAGATACAAACACTACATCGCTTGATTATATAATATACTGGGTTTACCGATTGGTTGATTTATCCAAAGGAAGCGCAGAGTAAGTCAATAATTTTAAATAAATTATCTTTGTCAAATATGGTCGAGTTTGGATTAAGTCTTTACACAAAGAAGTTGGTATTGAAGCTTCTCCCAGATCTGTAAGACCTTCAGTAGCTTCCCTTAACTAGATAGAATGCTTTCAAATAGATAAAATTTAGAAACTAGAAACGGGGGCAAGATCCTTTACCTATAAGAGGTTTTAAAAGAGTTGTATTAAATCGGTCACAGGAAAGCACAAAAGTTTGGCTGTCAAGCTATTTTGATAGATTCCTTAAATCAAATTGTTATTTAAATAAATTATTTTATTCCAATAATTTAATTTTTATTGGACACATTATAGCATCGTCATAATATTTATGAACAGGTGATAACAAACACGTCACTCAAGATGGATTCCGGATGTCAACATGGAACAATAATAGAGAGTTTTACCTACCAATAAAACTTACCTATTATTTTTCCTTAAGACATCCGGAATCCAGGTAATTTCTACCTGGTTCATCTCGAGTATATATAATGAGGTAAGAAATATCAATTTGTTCAAATGTGCAAGTTTTCTCCCGCCAAATTGACATTAGAGGGCTGAAGTTGCACCGGAAGGGAGCGAAAACTGGACAAAAAAGGCTAAAAAGACAGGTGCTTGACTCAAGATGGATTCCGGATGTCTTAAGGAAAAATAATAGGTAAGTTTTATTGGTAGGTAAAACTCTCTATTATTGTCGAACGGAACTCGGAGAGAGGGGCGCGGTCGCGGCGAGTACATTGTGTCTGTCTGTGTGTGCGTGTGCAGCGGAGTGTTGGTGAATAGCTGACCATATTATTTGCACGAAATTGGGATAACTAATTTCACAAATAAAAAATGCTAACGCACATATAAATAATATTTGGCGTATGCATTGATTGCGTTTATATTATTATATTCTAATTGGGGTGTTTGAGGGTGTGCGTTAATTATGTTACACGTTGTATACATGTATATATATGTCATTGATTGTACTAGTAGTGCCTGACTAGTCTATCATTTTATTGCTATACCAGTATCAACTTAAGTTAGTTTTTAAGGTAGTTGTGGTCATGTTATATATCGAACATAGGCTGGCTCGACCGAGGAAGTAGTGAAATAGTGTTTAATGGTTACGTTTCGTCCGATGAGTGAATGAGCCGGTTACCCTTTAGCATAAAAAAAGTTTATCATATTAAAAGTATCTTTAATTTTTGTATATATCATTTGTGTGTTGTTTAGGAAAACATGCGCCAAAGCAAAACTGTTGATAGCCAAGTACAACGATGAAACAAGCAGCGTAGACGTTAACGTTAACATAAATTACTACAAGGAATCTGTTGACGCCTTTAAACATTGGGAGAAGAGTCTGGTGAGGGAAAATTGATATAAACTATTATTTGCTATAAATCCCTACTAACTAATGTTAGAGTTCTGTCTGTCTGTCACGCTTTCACGCCTAAACCACTGAGCTGATTTTAATGAAATTTAGTACAGAGATGGAGTTGACCTTGAGAAAGAACAGGATAGTTTTTATCCCAGACTTTTGAAAGGTTCTCTTGGAAACGCGATATAACCAAACTCCACGCGGGCGAAGCTGCGGGCGGCAAGCTAGTTATTTGTATGTAAAAGAAACATTATTTTAAATTTTACGATTAAATATAATGTTATATTTTAAAGGTGTGTTTGGGCGCGTATTACGAGAAAGTGAGCTCTATCGACACTAACACTAATATGATGTGGTCCCGCCGGCTATACGCTCTCAATAGTTACGGGAAGTCGCTACAGTATGGACATAAGTACTTGTACCAGAGTATGCCGAGGATGTTGTCAATATGGTAGGTTGAAATATTTTCACTTAATACCCCTTGTTATAATAAATTTGAATTAACTATTTGTTTCTGTTCTAAGGTTATAATATCACGAACTTATATTTTTGTATGTATGCGTAATTTTAGTTATAGCAGTGTTAATCCTAAATGTAATTAAAATACTCAGAAAAGAGGAGTATGAAAACGACGTATCTTTCGTAAATATTTCTTATCGTTATTTTTATGAAATAATTTTATGGGATTTTTACTCAAAAATATATTTTCTTCATAAGCGTTTAAGTATGTCTGATACAATTAAATAATTTTTCCAGGTTGGATGTGGAAGTTTCGTCGGCAGATCCCAATTCTCACGCGATCGTGACCGAGATGACGGAAGTTATAAAGACTTATTCTGAAAAGTTGCCTATTTATTTGTATTTCACTGCCTTCTCACAAATAATATCAAGGATTTGTCATCCAAAAATAGAGGTAAAAGAATTTATTTCGTAAACGATTTTCAAGAAAAAAAAAACTAATTATCAGGTTATTTCTATAATATTGTACCTCATGCTATAAATGTAAAATCTTGTGTTGCTTTTTCTTCATGGCCAATTAAACGAGGGCTTTTGAATGTGTAGGGAATTAAATGTATGAAAATTAAAAAATAATATGATTATATATTTACATAATACAATGAAATCGAAATTATGGAGTATTTATTATTAACAGTCTTCAGGTAAATGTTAGATATTATTTATACGGATAAGATATACAATATCTGTATTTTCCAGGTGTATAATCAGCTAAAGGCGATTATAGTGAAACTGTTAGCGGCTTACCCACAACAGTCTCTATGGATGATGCTGTGTGTGCTCAAATCCAGTTACCCTGCGCGCGTGGCTCGATGTGAACAGGTTTTAGCTGATGCACAACTCAAGCCATTGGGCAAGCTGGTGCGTGACTTCAAACAGCTTGCTGAAAAGCTGATCGAGCTGTGCAACAAGCCGATAGCCGGGAAAGTTATGGTTCGTCTCTGATGAAATATATCAGTTTTAATCTGTGTCATACTGAAATCATGATGAGATTTAAGACTTGCGAGTATTTATTTAAATGAAACTGATATGTTCGGATTACTACGCGTTATTTTATTATTTTTAAAAACTACATACTCCCAACGCTTCAGTTACTTTGCAACAACCACAAACGGGTTTTAAAATTTATAAAATAACACACAAATCTGAAAATATTAGTTTCATTCATATTAAGTAATCCTCATTTTACGAAATATTTCTATTTTTTTCTTAATATAATTAAAAATATTCATTTAAATATAATTAAGCTGATCTTTCATAGGAAACAACTTACTCATATATGCCTTATTATATAATCTTATTAATAACTGCTTCTAGACAGCAACAGTGTCAAGTCTAGTTCCAACTTTGCCTCGTCTTCTCGAGTCAGAAGGCTTCAGTCACATAATGATGCCGTTCCAAGAGTTCTGCAAGATAGTACTACCGTCTAAAGCAGCGAGCGACATGCCCTTCACTATACCGACCCAGCCGAAGGTTTATATAGCGGGGATACAAGAACAACTAACCAGATTGCCATCTTTGCAGCAACCAAGAAAGGTTACCTTGATAGGTAAGGACTAATAGATTTCTAATACTTGAAAAAAAAATCATATATAAATTATGGAAAGAATATTTCATCTAAACGGGATTCGAACTTGCGACTCCGAATATGTCTCGTTCAAGTGGCTTTGTAATTAAATTATCGAGTCATGACTACAGTCGGTGAATAAACTTAAGATTGTTCTATATATCTATGGATGTTTCCTATTACTAGTTCTGATCAACGAATGACTTTTATGATAACGAAAATAATAATTTTCTTAACTATTTTTTATTTGTTCAGTTCTTTCAACTTCCTTAAATTGTCTTCAGAATATTATGTACAGCATTATAATAGCTTTTTTTTTTTATTATTCCAGGTTCAGACGGAAAGAAGTATATTATCATGTTAAAACCTAAAGACGACCTGCGTAAAGATTTCCGTTTGATGGAATTCAATGGCGTCGTTAATAAATTCCTTCAAGACGCACCTGAAACTAGGAAGAGGCGGCTTTATATAAGAACATACAGCGTGCTGCCTCTCAACGAGGAATGTGGCTTGATAGAATGGGTTCCCAACCTCGTTGGATTACGACCGATTCTCATACATATATATAAACAGAAAGGTAATTTTTGGACCGAATTCGAAATTTAAATTATAACACACCTGGCCGAAAACGATTTAAAAAAAATCATTATATTCCTGGCTGAAACGGATTCTAATTTTAAAAAAATTTAGGCATACAAACAAGCAAGAGTGAGCTCCATAAAATGATGTGTTCAAGTCACGACCCGGTGGAGAAGAAGCGTGATATATACGAGAGGATGTTACTGCCGCGACATCCGCCGGTCTTCCAGGAGTGGTTCAGGAAGACCTTCTCGGATCCGTACGGATGGTATTCAACATTTTATACTGAAATTACTTTTACTTAGGTAAAAAAATCGTCAAATGTAATGTGAGTGTGAAAAAGATATATACATTCGTTACGTTAACTGGTTATCGATTAACGATTGATACTCGACTTTAATTGATTATTTCAAGTCCTATTGTGGAAAAGTAATGACACTATGTTTGATATTTAGTAATAACACAGATCTAGGAGTCTTTATGAATTATTTCATGGGTCAAATTCGCGTTAGTGTGTAATATTCGTTATATATGAATTTCTAAAACATTTTATTTCAAAAATTTCTTTGCATTTATCTCCATATAAACTTTAATGTTAATTTGTACGTTAATCAGTAATGTCTAAATAATCTCAGAAAGTACATAATATGATTCCGAAAAATCACATTGGTACTTTCTCGGGCCAGGATCGAACCCGCGCCCTTGACAACGACAGGCGGGCTCTTTAACCAGTAGGCCATCACTGACTAATCAAAATTTATTTAATGTCATTTATTCAAGCGAGGTCAGCGTATATAAGAACCACCGCTGTAATGTCCATAGTGGGTTATATTTTAGGTAAGACATTTTTGAAATTTTTATATGTATATTAGTACATACATAAGTCATAACGAAGTAATATTAATATATTTTAATGAATATAGAATAAACTTCGAAATCAAATTCACTAAATATTTTAATTAATGTTTTTGATTGATTATGACTACTAACTACTACTACTACTGTTATAATTTTGAGAGTTAGAGGATCTGGTAGCAATTGTAATGTTAAACTAATATTGCACTACACCACATAGTTATTTGTTTTTACTTCATACTAAAATCCCTACTATCCTTACTAATATTATAAATGCAAAAGTAACTCTGTCTGTCTGTCTGTCTGTTACGCTTTCACGCCTAAACCACTGAACTGATTTTAATGAAATTTGGTTCAGACGTAGAGTTGACTTTGAGAAAAAACATAGGATAGTTTTTATCCCAGACTTTTGAAAGGTTCTCTTGGGAACGCGATATAACTGATCTCCACGCGGGCGAAGCTGCGGGGAGAAAGCTAGTAATATATATAATTCTACAAATATATATAAATATATTTCTTATCTAGGGCTCGGCGATAGACACGGTGAGAACATATCGTTCGACTCCACTAACGGTGACACAGTACATGTGGACTTCAGCTGCCTGTTCAATAGAGGTGAGAGCTTGGAATGGCCCGAGCGGGTGCCCTTCAGACTCACACACAACATGCAGGCGGCCATGGGGCCCCTCAAACATGACGGCATGTACAGGTCAGTGTTCTTAACCAGTCTTGTTCGGGTTGGATTTCAATTGTATCGAAAAGTTTGTGTGTTTCGGCAATCTTTTATTTAAGTACTGGGTTCTCGTAATATTTAAAATCGATTCTAAAATCCAAGTAAAATCGCATTCAAGACCTAGAAACTTCATGCTTTTCTTGTAACGAGTCAAATATCAAGACAGTCAATATAACGGACCTTATTTATTTTAACTTACTATTTTATTAGTGTTGTAGTATAACACTAGTTATAATATAACTAGTATAACACTAGTTATAATACACAAATGATTACTCCATTCATCTTCATTTTACATATAAATCTTAATAATTCTTATATTATATAGAAAATGCTGTGAGGCTGTGACCCGAGTGCTTCGCTCTCAAACAGAGGCTCTCATGTCTGTAGTAGAACCGTTCGTGTATGACCCTCTGGTCGCTTGGAACAAGAGACACGACACCGGAGAGAGAACAAACGACCAGGCGAAGTTACATCTCAAACATATACTGCAGCGCTTGAGAGGAATGGTTAGTCGTTTTTTCGAAACCTGTAGGATTTAGAACTAAACAGAGTATATATATTAAGCCCCCAGTACACAATGGCCCATGCGTGCCCACTACAGGCCATCGCCATTGTGTACAGGGGGTAATGGTATATGATGGCGGACAGTTGTCCATCGTGGCGAGCAATCGGAGAGTTGTCGGTTTTTTGGGCACACTTCAAAGGAATCGTGGCGTAACGTGGCCTGTGGTGTTTACACAATCGGCCATTGTTTAGTTCGTCACCGGCCGCTGACCGGGATAGTTGTGTTGCAACAAGGTCGCTTAACAGATTGTCCGTGAATTGCCTGAAAACGGTAAAAACAATCTTAAGTAGTCATGTCGTTTACGTTAACATTCTAAATATTAATATTATATCCTAAGTATCACATTAAAAAATCTACGTACCTTGTCCTGTTTCGATGAATGGTCAACATCCACCATCGCCTTTTTCGCCATTTCCTTTTAACAACTTTGTGACGGTACACACTTCTGTAATACTTGTAAACAGTGTACAAATAAATAGCCGCAGCCGTAATTACTTCGACGTCCATCGCGAGTGGTTTGCCAGGCAGCAATGAGCCATACGCCATTGTGTGAACACCAAGTGATCGTGGCCTACAATTGTGCATTGCAAAGCGTGGCCCATCACAGGCCATTGTGTACTGGGGGCTTTAGATATCAAGAACGAATATTTTTAAATCTTTCAACTGTTTTTTTTTATACAAAAATTCCTTTATGTTCGATTGTATACTTCTCATATAATTGGAGATTCATGCCTTAATTTAGAACATTACTATTTCTTAATTATTTGATTTATATTACACTAGCTTTCCGACCGCGGCTTCGCCCGCGTGGAGTTCGGTTATATCGCGTTTTCAAGAGAACCTTTCAAAAGTCTGGGATAAAAACAATCCTCTGTTCTTTCTTAAGGTCAACTCTACCTCTGTACCAAATTTCATTATAATCAGTTCAGTGGTTTAGGCGTGAAAGCGTAACAGACAGACAGACAGAATTACTTTCGCATTTATAATATTAGTGGGGATCTGCACGTAATTCAAATTTATACAAGAGCAGGGCAGAAAAATTTATTACTATATTAAATGTCTTAAAATGTATTAATTTCAGGTAAAAACTAAAAATACGGAGTTTTCATTGTCGTTGTCACCGGAAGGTCTTGTGGAGCATCTGATAGCTGAGGCCACGAGTGTTCATAATCTGTGTCAGATGTATATCGGCTGGGGATCGTTTTTATGATTATACTAGCTGCGCCCCGCGGTGTTACCCGCGGATTTCCGGGATGTAAAGTAGCCTGTGTTATTCCTGGACGTCAGCTTCCTGTATACAAAATTTTATCAAAATCGGTTCTGCCGTTTGAGCGTGAAGAAGTAACAAACATACACACACTTTCGCAAATATAATCTTAGTAATATATAAGAACTATGGAATTATTGAGTTTATTTGAAACATATAAAATGAATGTTATAAAATTGTTAATTATTTTTTATTTCTCGTTTAATTTTCCTTTCCATCTAATATAGGAATAAAATAAAGCGAACCGAACACGCTAGTGAAAATAATTTACAATTACATATATATAAGTTTATTGTTAAAATCCGTCTTAAGGTTGAAATTACCTTAAATACAATATATTTGCAACATGTGTATTACATAAGTCTTTAAAATAATTAAGAAAATTAGTTTGTGTGCTTGTAATCTTAAAATAGCCGTCACATAAAGATACCAATTTTAAGTTGTTCCTTATGTTTGTTTTGAATAATCCCTGAAGCGGCTGGATCAATGTTGATAAAGATGATCGCTGCTAGATAGATGTTGTATGAAGAAGTTACTGGGCTTTTTTTAATAAGAATTCCTTGCCTACGTAGCCTCTTGCTCAGTTAGGCGCTTATTAGCTAGGCTTTTGCTTTTTAGTTTTTGAAACACGTAAAAACTATTTTAAACGACGTATGTGTCGTTCTATTTAAGTACCTTAAATTTAAATCTCAAAAGAACATACGTTACAGTTTTTAAAATATGTATTTCTTTTAATAATAGTAGGTTAAAAAGTTTAAATTAACTTTGCCCTTTGAATCGCATATTAAAAAAAAATAAGACCAATTAAAAATTTTACATTTCCCCAACCTTTTAGAGCGATATTTTGTATAGTGAAAAGCTGTTTGTCGAGTCGGATTAAAGGGGAATTTGATCTAGCTCGGTTTTAACTGACAGAGACAACGCTGTAGAATTTAACCCTCTAATAAAAATCGTCACCGTGAGCCAGATGAAATTTAATTTGTCTCACCCTCTTCGTTTTCAGTCCCAATACAAAGGGTAGGTACTTTGGGTTTTCCAATTACCTACAATCAATTATTTTGGCAATATAATAATAATTAATTAGCTACTGTTCGTAATTTAAATCATATCTGTCTTTATATTTGATATTTACTTTTTTACTTACTTTATGGTGATATTTACATTTACTTTCAATATGTTGACCTTTTCAAATTATAAATTAATCTTATCCTAGACAGCAAAGTTCATCACAAAGTTTTGAAATAATATATAACATTATTTGCAAATGGTAGCCAATGTAGATTTTAGATAAAAGGCCTTGTAATCTATGTAAATGTGCTTACTGTAAAAATATGTGTAGTTAGTAGCTTAATTAGAGAAATAACTAAAGAAGATAGAAATTCTTATTATTATTATTCCTGCATATAGTTTTTTTATATTTACAAATAAGTTTTGATGTATAGTAATAATAAGCTTATTAGAGAAATAACTAAAGAAGATAGAAATTCTTATTATTCCTGCATATAGTTGTTTTATATTTACAAACTAGTTTTTGCACGCGACTTCGTCCGCGTTAGTTTCGTCATTAGTAATATATGTATAGCTGACCAGGCGAACTCTATTCCGTCTTAGAGGCCATTAATAATCAGGTTTTTCCTGTTTCAATCAAACATAATGATTGACATATTAGTTAGTTGTCAAATCTAATGTCAAAAAAATCGTTTGTATGGGAAATAGAAAAGGGCTGGTTTTAGGGTTTTCCCGGCAATTATTCCAATTTTTCTCACCTTTTATACCTTCCCTGAACCTCCACAAACATTTCAAGACTAAGATAAGACAAATCCGTTCAGCTGTTCTCGAGTTTTAGCGAGACTAAGGAACAGCAATCCATTTTTATATATATAGAAGAAGAAGATAAGTTTTGATGCATAGTAATAATAAATATCCCTTAAAACTTATTTTTTTATTTGTCACCGAGTCTATTAATTCTGACACGTTAAAAAATTCATTAAATTTTCCCTCCCTTGATAAAAAATTAAATACCCAAGAAGTAATCCAAGCAATACCATCAAATTCTGAAGCAATGACCCTATTAACAGAATCTATAGTAAAAGTTATTACTCTAAATAAAACTCAAAATATAAGTATTAGTTCACAATTTATTAGCTCAGCTATTAAAGAAACCATCCAGGATAAAAATAGCAAATCGTCACATTCAACCACCAAATCTTAAATATTGTACAGTGGAACACTCAAAGTCTGTTAAGTAACAGACTTGTGTTTCAAAATTTTCTATACCAAAATAATATACATGTAGCTCTTATTTCAGAAACTTGGCTCAAGCCCAACATTCAATTTAATTTACGTGGTTATACCATTATTAGGAATGACTGCGGTAATGATCATAATGACGTAGCAATATTAATTCAAAATGGTATACATTTCCCTAAACTAGATACTTTTTATGATGATTCGTTACAAAATGTAGTAATTGTTATTAAACTGAAACATAAATGCATTTCTTTGGTTAGTTTTTACAGTCCTGGTAATAGTTCTCCTGCTTTTGAAAAGGCGAAGTTCGATCGTTTATTGTACAGTATTCCAAAACCGTTTATAATTGCAGGCGATTTTAACGCCCATCACACTTTTTGAGGTTGCAGTCGCATAGATTCTCGGGGCAGAGCTATTATGGATTCCATGGATGACCATGACTTAATACTTTTAAATAATGGGCAACCAACAACTATAGGCTCTCATATTTGGAAACCAAACAGTCTAGATTTAACTATGGTGTCTTCTTCTTTATTTCTTTCTTGTGACTGGCAAGTTCATCAGGACTCTTTAGGCAGTTATCATCTGCCAACTATCACAAAATTTACTCTCGTAAAAGATCAACATGAGCCCTCTATTTCCTTGAACAACATTCCTTTTCACAGCAATCTGAAATTAGTAAATTGGGATAGGTATGCACAAATTGTTAATAAAATGTTAATGAACTTTAAAATTGACAATAGTGATCTCCTTGACTCGTACAGAAAGTTTTGTGCAATTATTCTATTGGCAATCAAATTTTCCGGGCCCAGCTTAAACCATAACACAACTGATAGTAATAATAACCGTCCTAGAAAAAGGTGTCAAGTACCTTGGTGGAATGATAAATGTTCAAAAGTAGTAGAAGACTGCAAGAACGCCTACATTAATTTTAAAACTAGTCTAATAGTTAAAATTACATTAATTTCAAACGCGCACAAGCCTTTAAAAACGCACTTTAAAAGAAGAACGTTGTAAAAGTTGCTCTGAATTCTGCTCATCAATAAATCGTTTGACATCTATAAATCGCATTTGGACTACAATAAGTAAATTCAAAAAAAGCTTTCCGAGTTCTAACTTATTTTCTGACCTCAATTGGGTTCAAACATTTTTATATAAATACACACTGGATACTGTTTCACAACAGATAAGTATAGATAATGTTCTTGGAGTAAATAGTGATAATTCATACATGATCGGTTGTTTTACTATGCAAGAGTTAAAATCTGCTTTAGCCTCAAGAAAAGATTCTTCATGTGGCCTGGACTGGCTTTCCTACAAAATGTTTAAACTTTTGAATGTTCAAACTCAATTTTTTAAGTCTATTAAATAGTTTATGGTCGTCTTCTATTATCCCAGGGGATTGGAAAACTGACTGTTTGGTACCAATATTAAAACCTGGCAAAGACTTTAATTTGGCTGATTCTTATCGTCCTATTACACTGAGTTCATGTGTTGGAAAAATTTTAGAACAGTTAATAAAACAGAGATAAATTTTTCACATAGAAAGTAATAATCTTTTACCTTACAATCAGTTTGGCTTTCGTTGTGGCCGTTCTGCTTGTGAGAGTCTACGTCATTTCTGTCTGGATATCCACGATGCTCGTTCCGAGAATAAAGTACTAGTTGGTGTTTTTCTTGACATTGTAGGGGCTTTCAATAATGTAGATCTGAACAAATTATCCTCAATATTATTATTACTACAGGTACCTGGAAAAGTTGTAAATTGGATTTTTAATTTTCTGAACTACAGAAAGGTGTTTGTTAAGGTCAACAATAAATCTTGGACCAACCAAGATATTCTTGTAGGGGTGTATCACAGGGTGGTGTATTGAAACCATTGCTTTTTATCCTATTGTGTGTGAAGTGAAGTTTCTTATCTGCAGTTTGCAGATGTTTTAGTTGTTTATTGCTCTGATACTCATTTTTTACGTGTACAATCAGTCCTCAATGTTGCTCTCCAAAGACTAAAGAACTATTTTGATAGCCTTGGGCTGGAGGTCAGCAAAGAAAAAAGTAAAGTAGTTGTCTTTTCAAAAAATGGAATTAGAAATGGGAATGTAAACATTTTGTTCAATAATAATGTAATGTCTGTAGAGAGCTCTGTAAAGTTTTTAGGTGTTTTTTGTACAAACAATTTTAGATGGAATAAGTATGCTGAAACTCTAGAATCTCGAGCTTTAAATACTTGTAATGTTTTAAAATCTTTAACAGGCACATATTGGGGTGCTGATCCGAGGATTCTATTAACATTGTATAAATCATTAGTAAGGAGTCATTTTGAATATGCTTTTTTTTGTTTTGCAGGGGTAAGAACTATAGTAGATAAATTAGAAAAGATACAGAATAAATGTTTGCGTATTATAATAGGTGCCATGCGAACTATTCCCATAGTGTCAATGCAGGTGGAATGTAATATACCTCCATTAGCACTTAGGTTTTAATACTTACAATCAAAATTTTTTGCAAGGTTGCTCCATGTAAGTAACCATCAACTTCTTGTTAAACTACGGGACACTGTTAACAGGACTGCCAATATTAATTCATATTTGTTTCAAGGTTTTTCTGAAACAGAACAAATTTTTAATAAACATAATATATTTTCTAGCATGGTATGGCCTTGTTACTCTGGGTTATATGAATCAGGTTATATGAATAAAATTTATTCAGATTAAAATTGTAGTCAAAAGTCTTCTAAAGTATAAGGAAGACATTTATAGGGAACTTGATAGGTGACAGGGATATCATCAGATATATACCGATGGGTCTAGGAACAATGAAGCAGTCTCTATAGCTGTCTATGATAGTCAGATCAAAAGTGGATTCGGTCATAGGCTGAATCCACTCACAAGCATATACTCCGCTGAATCCATAGGTGTATATACAGCACATTCAAACACAGACTCATCCTAAGTGGATTATAATAATGGATAGTTTAAGTTTATTAACAGCTTTACAAAATCCACAATTAAATTCAAAAACTAACTATATTATATATAAAATAAGAGAGTTGTATCACCTGCTGTCTCAAAACAAGCAAATAACCCTATTCTGGACACCAGCCCACATTGGTGTTCATGGTAATGAGCAAGCAGACTATTTAGCTAAATTTATTACAAATCTTGCCCACAATCAATTAAGTCATAACTTTTTAAATTTCCCAAATCCTTAGTCAGACGCTCTATCCCTCTTCAAACTCAAGTTACAGAAAGAATTTTACAACTTGTGGCATCAGGTGGTAAAGGTAAAAGGTGGTAGAGCCTAGCTGTGGTCAAGTGATTGCAGCTCGAACATGGGCTGGCTCGACCGGGGAAGTACCACCCTCTCACAGAAGATCAGCGTGAAGTAGCCTTAGTGGCTGCGTTTCGTTCGATGAGTGAGAGAGCCGGTTGCCCTTTCCCTTTTTCCATCCTTTCCTACCCCTTCCCTTTTTCCTCCCCTTCCCATTTTTCCTCCCCCTCTTCCCAAATCAAGGGTGGTGACACATCCGCAACATATCTTATGTCGCGGATGTCCATGGGCGATGGTACTACCTCCATCAGGTAGGCCGTCTGCTCAGTTGGCCCCTTAAACATAAAAAAAAAAATGGTTCGCTACAATAAAGAAAAAGGTCTCTTCTCCCTGCTTTACCCGGGGTAGTGACTATAGCCATAGAAAGTATTATACCACAATCTATCGTTTGCGTCTGGGACATTGTCGTTTTGGTGCTCACCTTTTTAGGATTGGTGTTTTTGACTCTTCAACTTGTAGATATTACAATAGTGCTGATGAAACTCTCGAACATATATTTTTTGATTGTCCACAGTTTAGTATTCAAAGGATGGTCCTAGTAGACCAACTTTTAAGTATTTTTAAAACTGCTGAAGATATCCAGCGCTCCCTTCAGCAAATACTAAGCATTCAAGAATGCTTCTTGCCAGTTTATGGCTTTATTGTTTCTACTATAAAGTAAATCTAATTGTTATTTGTACATATGTATATAATACACTTTTATTCGTTTTGTTTTAGATATTTGCTTTCAGCTATTTCATCTATTTTCACAATTTGACTGTTATATCGATTTTGACAAATTAATTATTGTACTAAAAATAAGGACTTGACATTGAAAAAGACGGAATGTAAAAAAAAAACAAGAATTTGACAAAAAAAATATTTTAAATAAAGACATGGTTTCGGCCTTATAATTAAAAAAGGATACAAGAAGAAAAATTAAAAGAAGACATGGCTTAGCCTTAAATTTAAAAAAATGTTTTAAGAAGAAAATTAAAAGAAAACATGGCTTAGGCCTGATATAAAAACTTGAGTGTAGAATAAAAAGGAGATTAAGACATTTAAAAATAATTAAAGATACAAAATACAAAAGACATGGCTGTATGGGCTTTGTTTCTTTGCCTGTTCTGAACGGAACGAACATAACCAAAAAAAAATGGAAAAGCGAAGCGGGAAAAGTATTTTTGATTTTGACATTATAATTTAAAATATCGTTTGTAGGTACAACATACTTTACAGTTTACAAAAAATAAGTCGTATTATACAAAATATATAAAACTCTGAAAGTTTTTCTTGTTTTAAGTTTAAATAGCAAAAGTTTCTAGTAAGTCTCATATTAAACACAAAAACTTTAAACCGTTTAATATTTTGGTGAATTTTTTAAAATATGGAAGAAGAGAGTGATGGCCCTTTTAATGTTTGGCAAATGTTTAATGCTCCAATAAATGTATTGTTTCAAAACCTGGAGCATGCAGAAGATGGATTAGTTACATTGTTGACTTCCATTTTAAAGTTATCAGGGTATGGTATCAGGTATATTATAGTATGCTAATTAGAAAAACTGAGAATAATTGTTTTTAAAAATCAACTTCATTAAGAAAATAACCACAACAGTCTTCCGCACCGGATTTGTTATTACATTAAAATCGAGCATATAATAAAATATTGACTTTTTCACTGTTTTGTGATTTACTTTATGACAGAATATTATCATCTTGTTGATTTAGTTTATAAAGATTTATATACCAATTTCTCAATGCTATTTCTTGACTTATAACAATTTTAATTTAAAATGTATTAATTTTATTATTGTAGAGACTTTTCTGAAGTGTTGGTTCCTCGTCCAGGAGGTTTTAAGTGTCCAGAATCATACTATTGCGCTTTTAACACATGGCTTATTGGAAGACTATTTTATATAAGCTCAGTGAAAGCACTCCACAGGTAATTAATAGCTATTAATAAAATTATATTAATAGTTATCAAAATAATTACCAAAATTTGAAACCATTTTGACAAAGGCAATGTTGCATAAGTATTACATATTCTTTTAAATAATTTTATCATTATTTTACAATACTTTTTGTGAAGTACATTTAAAAATGAAGCAATTTGATAATTTCAGGATACATGAAACCAGCAAAGATGCGCAACTAAAAATTTTAAATATTTTGTGCATTAATGGAGCTTCGTTTTACAAAAAAGTCCACTCAGAATATTATACAATTTTAACTAATCTTTTACAATTTTACTGTGATTATGCAAAAAATAATGAAATAGAGTTAAAATTACAGAATTTTACTCCAGAACAAGTTCAAATACCAAATGCTAATATTAAATTGGAACCAATATATGTAAAAGTTAATGATCTTGCTACATGCAAAACTTTGATAAGCATAAATTTAAGATTATTGGCTGAAAGTATCCCACCCAGTCTTCTTTGTAATAAGACGGGCCATGAAAATGGTCTTTTTGATAAAATATTAAATGCAATAGAAAATTTTAGTACAGATATGAAATTAGTAGGATTAAAATTCTTCAATAATTTGATTATGAATATCCGAAGAGTACCTGTAAGTGAGTTCCAAGAAATGTTTCCAAATATTTATAATAATCTACTTCTTATCATGAAAGCTTTGATACAAACATTGAATGTACTGCATGATAAAGGTGAAATTGATAATATGATGCTGATTGATTTTAATTTATTATATATAGAACTTATTAAAATTATTGGAGACAGCTTGAAAATTGAACACAAAGAGGATTTCACAGATATATGCAATGTTGTTCTTAGCAATACATCCAACAGAATCTTCAATAAAGATCTGAAACTGCTTTCTTTATCAATGAGTGGAAAAGTACATTTAAATAATGATTATTTAAATATTGTGGATATGGATTGTGATGAAATAAATTGTCTGGCAGATTTCTATTGTTCTCATATACTTGAACATATTAATACTGAAAGAATAAAAGATAAACCAATTGATTTAAAGGAAAATATTTATCTGAATAGAATTATATCTGTGATAACATCTGTAAAAGCTTGTGATCAACCAAATATTGATATATTTCTTATAAATCATCACTTATCCAGATGTCTAAGTGCCTTATGTGTTTTAGAGAAAGTTATTATACAAATTGTTTATAAGGTAGATACAAATATGATAAGTAAACAAGAAATTAAATTGGTCTGGTTAACATTAGTAAGGTTGATAAAAGAGAAGAAAGCTGTTATAATAAGTAATGAAACAAGTATAAAATTGATAATGAATATCATTGTGAGTACAGTAAGCTTGCAAACAAACTTGATAGCAGATGATGTCAACATAGTACTTCAACTCATATGCTTCCAAGAATCTCATGTGTTCACAGAATCGAACTTTTCATTCACTAATAATATTAAGTTGAATATCTTAAAATATCTGCTAGTGAATAAACTCATTATTACGAAGAACCCTGCATATGAGAAATGGAATAAAATTATAACATTCCTGTACAGTTCATTGATGAGAAATAAGGATTCATTTCAATCTAAACAGGTATTTGTGAATTTTAAATTACTATATACACATTTTCTTTTTATAATAAATAAATAGTTCATATAAATGGCAAATTACCTAAGGTATATTTTTTAGACACTTGAGTCTTACCTAAAGATATTATATTTCGGGAAATTTCGATTTCAATAAATTCTTTTCAGTAAAACTAAAATTTTCAAATTAAAGTTACTTTGTTGCAATATTCCAGAGTCTGCAGATTTAAATCCTGTTTGTGTGGATGTTTTTTTTATTAATTTTTTTTTATGTCATTATTAAATAAAAATTTATTTTATGATTAAAAAAATACTTTTACCAAGCCTTTTTAGTGCCTGACTGTTATCCTCGTTTAAAACCCATTTAAATAAAATAAACTATGCAGATCAAGTCATTGGTAGCAAGTAAGGAAAATAATAAATTTAATATGAAAAGAAGTTTCCACTTCTCTCTATAGGTCCATTCAGCTATGTCTAATGATGTCTCATTTTATATATTTTACAGATTATTGAAATGTGTCCTCTGTTTTTGGTAAACAAAATTTTATCTGCAAGCAAAATTATTGGAGAGATTTTAATGCCCGCCTTCATGTCCAAAGAAACCAGTTATCAGATTGAAGTGTTAAGAATATTACCATCAGTTGTCTGTATTTCATTAGGAAGTTATGATATTGTTAAAACTGTATCAAGCGATAACACTCAAGAAATATTCAGTAACGAAAATTTCTCTTTAAATGTTATTTGTAACAAATGTAAGGATTTGACTATGAAAAATAGCAAAATAGTCCACAAAGAGACTGAGATGTTGACTTCATCTAATACTTCCTATTTGAGTGGTTTAAAAAGTTTGTTTGTAAAATTTATTAATACAAAAGATAATGAGTTTGGTGCAGACTATTGGAATTTAGTACAGAGGCTTTGCAATCATTACTATATATTTGACCATGGAGTTTCAACAGATATAATACAAGAAAAATATTTAGATGATGTCTTAAAAACTTTTAAACCTTTCATTGATGTTCAGGTGAGTGATGAATCATAGAACATTATTTTAGTAACAAATTACATTCAAATTACATGTTTTCATAATTTCAGAATAACAAAGACCAGGATTGGATAACAAATCGTGATATGATAATGAATTTATGTGTGAATCTTCTTGTTAAATCAACATTAAGAAGTCTAGAAAATAATGATTACAATCACCAAACTCAGACTTTAGACTGGATTAAGAGTCTAGGTCTATGTAGTAATGAAAAGTTAATCCTGCCAATAACAAAATTATTAGTCTACTTCATAATGCAACCACAGTGTTCTTTAGCACCAAAGGCTATCGTTTATTTAAGAGAGGTTTGCGAATATCAAGATCTGACTCCAAATCAAGTATATCACAGATATAAGAAGGATTATTGCAAGTTGTTTGTGGAGTGCAGCCTTTATAATGGAAAAGATTTTGCTATTTTCCTTCTAAAAGTCGTTAGAGCATTCGGATTTGTTGGATACAGGGATTTTATATCCAAAGATATCCATCATTTTCTGCCTTATCTCATACCATACTCGGTGACTGTAAAGGAAGTTCCATCTATGATAGAAGAGATTGCTGTTCTGGTGCAATGCTCGGTCTCAGATTTTCTTATTGAGAGATTTCCTCACATATATGTTCATGTCTATCTAACAGAATCAAAGGAAACATCAAAAAAATGCTTTGATATCATTGAGAGATTGACTAAAACGTCCACTCTGAATCTAATAAAGAAACATTTTAGGGTGATTTTGACGGAGTTTCTTTTACAATACTGCTGTAATCCAAGAAAAGTTTTGGAAGCTTGTAAATACTTGGCCTATCACGACCCAGACGTTTCTTCATCTCAAGGCAATATTCTTAAGAGTTCAGCACAAGTAGCAGACTTTCTTAATCCGAAATTTTTAGGTGTCTTAGCTTACTTTGACCATAAGCTCGTGAACGCCAAAGTGGCTCTATCAGTTAAACGTAAAGCGTTAAAAAGTTTTTCTGACATAATACAATTAATGGGTATTAGATATTTAACGCCGTTAAGGTTCAAAATTTTGGCCACCTTGAGATCAGCTTTGCCTTTAGCAAAGGAATTTCCCATTATTCTTGCAGAGGCATGGTCTGCCTTCATCCACAATATTGACAGCAGTTCTTTGGGACCCCTATTGTCCAATCTTGCTGCTCCACTTTTGCATCAGATCGAATACGCGCCAAATGAAATAAATAGTATATTCCAATACATGATTTTGAAAAATGAAAATCTTCTTAGCTCACATATATCAAACTTGTTCTTTTTGGAAGATTCGAATGTATCGGATAACGTGAAAATGGTGATTAAGAGACATGTTAAAAGATCACAGCCGGAGAGTTTTCAGGATAAAATAAAATGGTACTTGCAGCATTTGAATCACGACATACCTATTATTAAGGCAAACGTCTTCTGTCATATGGAGAAACTATTGAAGAGTAATAGGAGTGAAATACATAGATCTATATTCGGTGGAAGAGCGATTGAGGCGGTCATTGTTGAACTCATTGATTCTTTACTGATCGGTAAGAATTTCTTAAGTTTTTTTAGTGCCCTTAATATTTACAAAAATATATATTTTACATTTAAAATAGTCCATACTCCATTGCATGAACTGAAGAGTGAAATTTGTAGGAATTTACTTTGTTATGAATCAATTCCAATTATTTTATATTTATTTATCACTACGAATGAATGGACAATATTATATTCCGTCAATGCTACTAAAATCAAACGCATATTGGCCAAAGTTTTAACCAGCACAGACATACGTCTTAGAATCGTAATAAAAACTATCTGTTTGTAGACTTATCAGAAACTGTGTTTACTTAAAGGTTGCAAGGACATTAACCCTCAAGTGTCCTTGGCGAGTGGTTCCTGTTTAGGTCAACTGGGTGCCATAGAAGCCGGTCATCTCCCGCGCCAGTACGTCCAACCTGATAGATCTCCATTCGCCTTCTTCATTAACGACGATTGCTTTGCCGCTACGGCTCTCACTGAACTGGCTAGAGCTTTTCAATACGAAAAGGATACTATGGTGTGATTTATATTAAATTGTCTGTATGTATGAAATGAATGTATTGCTTATAATATTTTTATACCAACAGAACATGGACTGCTACGCTTTAACTATACAGGAGATATTGAAAATTTATGGCATATCCCCAAATGGCTCTAAGAAGGAAGTGTGGGATAGTTTCTCAGAAAACATGCATCAGTTAATGTCACCACTGCTGAGTTCTAGGTATTGTTTAAGCATGATATTTGTATATGACTTTATATCTTTTTTTATTATTGTGAAATATTAAAATCGTCTCTATTCAAAGGTACACATTGGCTTATCCATCGCAGCCAAAGAAAGTTCATCCTTTATTCGGATCGATGCACGCTACTACGTTTTTGGAATGGGCACATAAGTAAGATATGTTACAACATTATGCAACATCAGATGTTTTTTTATGTTAATATAAAATTAATATCTGGTAACCCAGTTTTGCTCGATATTTTATTATTTTAAATCATGTTCAGGACTAGTATTGTCGGAATGTACTGTTAAATAACATAGAAGTTGTTATGTCGCTACAGCAGGATTAAATAATTAGTTTTATTTTGACCTGAAAAAAATAATTAAGGTTAAGACAACAAGATTGATTACTTAACATTTTATGAAAACTATTCGAGCGGTTTCCGATTTACAGATTATTTATATGTATAAAGTGGTTTAAATATATTGTATTAAATGCATTGTAATGGTGTAATATTGTATTGTAACGGTATTGATATTATATCAAAATAAATCTATATATTACATTCTAATATTTTCAGTTGGTCGGGACAGCTGATTGATCTGATAGAATCCAACGATATAAAGGATCTTCTCCGTACAGTTCATCCCAGTATGCGGCGTGACGTTCGAACACTATTCCTCTTCCTTCCATATGTTTTGTTACACGCTATAATGTCTAAAACTAACATACGGTACATACAAGAGGAGATATTGGCCGTTATAGGTAACCTCATATATTTATATTTGTAATAATTTCCGACTTCAGAAAAGGAAGATTACGAGTCTGTTTTATAATTTTTGTGTGCATATTACGAATTAATATTTTATTGTGCTCTTTGTTTTATAATAAATATTAGAATATAATATGAAGGGTTTTGATATAGAAAATCATCTTGTGTTTATTTACTTTACATTCTATATTATCGCGTGACTATGGTGTGTCTTAGTTCAGATGTAGATATTTTTTTATTTATTCAAAGAATACAATTATGTATATAAATATATATTTCAGGAGGTCAAAATTCTAAGAATGACTGCAGTATCTCTGCAGAGAGATCGAAGTATAAAATATTAAAACACATCAAAATGACGCCAAACATAAATCCTGTTCATACAGAAGAAGGGAATCAAGTAAGAATGTACATTTATTTATAATAAGAATTACGTACATTTCTTAGAGAAAAATTTCTTTAATACAACTAAACATTTTTCAGACGAAATGCAGCAAAACTATATACACTTTATTCGACTTTTTGAATCGCTGGCTCCTTGAATGGACTAATGTCAAACAGAAACCGTTAGAAAATGAAAACTACAAGTAAGTTATTAATATTTTTGAAGTGAAACTTTTTATGCGACTTCTGACAAGGTTCCGTTAAACGTTTAACGCTATCAGGGAGGGGGAGGATAAAAATAAACTTAACACATGCGGGAAATCAATTGTAAGTGACTTATAAGTCATGTTAATAAAGTTTGTCTTAAAGAAACACTAAAAATTCCTGAAAAAAACCTCACCTTCCAATTTACATTCCAATTCTCTCCTTCTGAGCGTAGGGATGCCACGCACATAAATTTTTTTGTTTTATTAATAATTTTATATTTCAAATCCCTCATTATATGCTTATTAACAGAGCAATAAAGAAATTTATGGATTCGTTTGACAAATTGGCCATTGCAAGAGGGAATTACGCATGTGGAGAATTGGAACGTGCCTTGCAATATCTAGAAATGTATATGGACGAAGATAAAGACAGAATACAGGAACAGTTACCCTTTCTGGCTGAAATATACGCGCTGTTGGACGAACCGGATTCCGTGTCTGGTAAGCTTGTATTGTTCTGTCAAATAAACTTGTAATATCACTATATTGGAGACTAAAACTACATAGGAATACAAAGATTTATATTCAAAAAAATATCTTAATGAAAATTCTTCTTTATTCACAATATCTACAATACTTATAGTATATGGTAATGATGAATATACATCATCTATAAAATTATAAAGTAAATTAATATACTTTTTTTGTAAAGTATTACTCAACATTTCTCTATATAGTACTACTAGCTGCGCCCCGCGGTGTTACCCGCGGATTTCCGGGAGGTGAAGTATACTATGTGTTATTCCTGGACGTCAGCTTCCTGTATACAAAATTTTATCAAATTCGGTTCAGCCGTTTTAGCGTGAAGAAGTAACAAACACACACACACACTCACAAACTTTCGCAATTATAATATTAGTAGGATTACTCAGAACATTTCTCTATATAGTACTATATAGTAATATACAGGTGTAATGTTCCAGGAATCCTCTCTATCCAGCGCGCTGAGCCGTCGTTGCAGGAGTTGATCCTCGTGCAGGTAGTGACCGGCCGCTTGCAAGACGCCGCTCTGTGTTACGAACGTCTGGCTCATAGACACCTCGACGAACACAGTCTGCAGGTTATTATTATTATTACTAAAATTTAAAAATAATACATAAATTGTTACAATATAATACAACAATAATATTATTAATTAATAAATTTGTTCATTAGCTAATCGGCTGAGCCGCACATACGCGACTCACCGCTGTACCATCCCTAGACTGAGTAGCCCATAGTACATAACCTGTCTTCAGAATTTTTTATGTAATAAAAAGCTTATGTATTAACACGTCACATTAATATTTGATTCATAATAATTCATATATTGTGTTTAATGAAATGCAAAACTTAAGAGTTAATGTATAAAAGGTTAGTCTACGTGCCAGTAAATTTTATGAAGTAAGAAAGTATAAAATAACTGATTTAAATAGCGATGTTATATTCAAATAAGACTTAAGTAACATTAACAAAGTTAAAGTAACGGATTTTGACAACACTCAGGTTCTATATAAGTTCATCAGATATAGAAATTACAATGAGTAAAGTATTTGGAATACAAAATGCTAGATACTGATAATTCTGATACTAGGATAGTGAGTTTATCACCTGTGACATTTTTCCACCTTCTATATGAACCGTAGTCGAATTTAAGATACCAGATACAAAATAGTTTCAAGAGTAGTATCTAAGTGAACAAAAATTTATTCTAAATTTATTTTTAACAAACGACATATATAAAGAAATTGTGAAGTAGGACAAGACAAAATATAACATTTTAAATTAAAAGACTTAAAACTAACTTTCTTAATATGTCATCGTTTTATTTTGAAAACAACTAACAATCATACCCCAAAGGAAAGGATATGTTTTTATAGTAGAAAAGTTTTAAGACCTCTAAGCAAAATATCTTTAAAACATTTCAGTGTTTTAACGTTTTTTTAGTTTTCTTCAGGGAGGTCAAAAAGAGAAAATGCATTGGATAAGATTATTTAGACAACATAACTTATAAAGTTAAAAAATAAATAATGGTGTGAATATAATAAAATTAATTTCATATTGCAATAAATATATGATAACTAGCTTTCCGCCCGCAGCTTCGTCCGCGTGGAGTTGGGTTATATCGCGTTTCCGAGAGAACCTTTCAAAAGTCTGGGATAAAAACTATCCTCTGTTCTTACTCAAGGTCAACTCCATCTCTGTACCAAATTCATTAAAATCAGTTCAGTTGTTTATGCGTGAAAGCGTATTTTTCATTGTTTACCCCCGCAAACCCCTTTGTGGGTGGAATTTCGTAAAATCCGTTCTTAGCTGACCTCTACTCGGCAAAAGGAATAATCCTATCAAACTTCAAGTCGCTACGCCTTATGGTTCCAGAGATATCGTGATGAGTCAATGTATAGGTGGAGATCTCTTTTATGTATATATTGTTGTTGTACTCCCCAGGGCATGACTGATTGTTACCTCGCCCTGGACCAGCCCTTCACAGCTCTCCGTCTGCTGAGCGAGCGTCAGCACGAGCCGCCCGTCGAGCTGTGCGCCGAGCCGCTCTGGAGGTTGGGGCGGTTTGAACAGCTGGAACAACTCACTGATACACCTGTAGTGAGTACTTTATAATATTACTAGTTATTCTAACATTTTAGAAGAATTTAACTTGAATTACTATAATACATATATATACAATAAATACTTATAATTAAAAAAATATTTATATATGTATAATGAAACGACCAGGTCTAAAACCCGCAACCTCCGAAATATTACGTTCAAGTTGCTCATTTAAATATTTTGTTGTTATTTCTGTTTTATTACGCTACTTAGGCCTCGGCCTCGAATTTTGCGGGCAGCGGAGCGGTGGCGGGAGCGGCAGGATCTTACGCGTATAATCAAATGGACCGACCCTCGAATACAGTGGTGCCCGCTGCCCGCTAGTTTGGAGAACAGTATGCGTTGCCGTGCCGCCGCCGCCGCCGCTCCGCTGCCCGCAAAATTCGAGGCCGAGGCCTTAGACTATTCTTCCCATTTTCATTATTGTGTTTAAGATTTTCTGGTTAATTTTGTAATAATTTTTTTATATAATTCATATAATACATGTAATCGGATATTTATTGTAAAATTTAATGAGATTAAAAAATTTTACGCGTATTCATAGAAATAGAACTAATATTTTTAGGATTTACTACGCTTTTATAATTATTTTTAACAATATACTCCCGATGTTTCAGTTACTTTTCAGCAAGCGTGATCACGGGCAGACAAGATGTGATTGTCTGTCAGTTGTTCTTGTTATTTATCATCTACGGCCAACGATTTCTTAATTATATGACAAACCGCACCTACTGCTAAACATTTATCAAAAATCGTCTAATATTTAATATAAATAATTCTGTTGTTTTCAGCCTCCATCCCGTGAAAACTGGGGCCTGCTTATGGGTAGAATTCTTCTGGCGTACCGAAAACAAGATGAAGATTTATTCAAAGTGACGTGTGATAACGCAATAAATAGATTGCTCCTACAGATGGACGGAGAGAGTCAGGGTGAAAACGCTCTTAGAGGTGGATATCAAAGCGTTCTTGGTTTGCATATCGTGAAAGAAGTGCAACATGCGCAGGAGCTATTACGGAGGTGTGTTGTCTATGGTTTTTTAAAAAGGAGGTGGATTTTTTATATCTGACTCTATATTGATTTATTTATCATTACGTTTCATTTCAAATACTACACTCAAATCTATAATTGTCGATTCCTTTCAGATTGTATCTATTATATCTCACGCATGTATTAAACAAGTAAACCGTTTTCGGTCAAACAATATTTCTCATTGTTATTTAGAAAATATGCCTAACTGTTGAGATTTTTAAAAAAACTTAATGATTTGTATGTTTTATATTGTTTCAGTAGTTATTAGAGACAAATAGTTTTTTTTACAAAAATATCTTTAACTTTTCATAAAATAAGTGAATATTTTGAATATATAAATAATATTTGTGATCGTTTAAAGATTATTTAATATACAGTACAATACTTGAAGAGATATGTATAAGATAAGAATATTTAAATTTTTTTGCGAGAAAGTTCTTCAATAAACCTACTCAGACTTTATTATTAGACATTCTATTACGACTTTAGTTATTGAAATAATACGATATACTAATATTTATTTCAGTTTGAAGAATTTACAAGACGGAAATGAACAGAGCACTGAAATGATAAACACACTTCTTAGTGAATGGCGTTTGAGGCTAGCCGTAGTACAGTCCGACGTGAGAACTATTGAACCGTTGTTACGACTAAGAAGGATATTGCTGCAGCAAACACAGGTGACACTAACTAATACATTCCTACACATCCTACTACTATTATAAAGGCGAAAGTTTGTAAGTATGGATGTATGGATGTATGGATGTATGTTTGTTACTCTTTCACGTAAAAACTACTGTATGGATTTGAATGAAACTTTACCACAATATAGCTTATACATCAGAATAACATTTAGGCTATAGCTTATACATTAGAATAACACATAGGCTACAATTTTTGAGGTTTCTAATGTGAGGTCGTAAAAAAACACATTTTTTGCGCTTACATTGCAAACGCTGACTGAATCCTACAAGATAGATCAAAACAATGTACTACAGTATTGTACAACTTAAAAAGGTCTACAAAAGAGTCCGTGATGGTATATGTTTATCTCTTAGGAATAACCCACAATAACCATTTTTTATCCTTTACTTTGTACGAGAAATAATGGCTTATTTACGAAGCGATTTTAAGCAATACAGTATTAATCCTTATCCAATTAAGTATCTTAAATCCATTGTGCATTTAATAAAGATCAACATGGCTTTTTACAGCATGTAAATTAAATAAATATTTTCGAAGATATCACAGATTTAAAATGCAGAGTCATAGCAATTTCGGTGATAAATACCGGCAGCGGTGTCAGGCGAACGGGGCGTGGGGGGAGCGGGGTAGGTGCGGTGGGGAAGAAGTGGCTATACATATATTACTAATGACGAAACTAACGCGGACGAAGTCGCGGGCAAAAACTAGTATAATATACATGTATGTATATTACTTTAAGTAATTTACATGTATAACATACATACATATTTATAAGAGATTTATATGAAAGTTTCTAAATTCACAGGAGCTGTTAGAACCAACGCACGCCGCAACGGCTAACAAGTTGAAGGCGTGCATCGGAAATTTGTGGCTGCAAAGCGCAAAACATGCTAGAAAAGCCGGTATTTTTCAACAGGTATTATTGCTATTTATCGACACACGTACACCTAATTCTAGATAGCATTTAAAATGATGAATATTAATGTAATATTTTCATTTAGTCCTACATGTACATCCTCAACGCTGAAGAGTATAAACCGCCGGAGTTGTTTATAGAAAAGGCCAAGATGTACTGGTCACGTGGACAACACGAGTCAGCCTTCACTACACTGAAGAGAGGACTCGAGGAGGCGTTCCCCTCCACTGACACGCTCACACCGGAACAGAGGTACTTACATGTATATATATATAGATATACATGTATATATTTAGAGGTACTTACATGTATATATGTATATATATACATACATAGAGTCATTAATTGTACTAGTAAATGAAACTAATATTTTCGTGACTCACATCTCGTTTGCCCGTGATCACGGTTGCTGAAAAGTCGGGAGTATGTAGTTCATAATCAAAAATAAAAACGCAAAGTAAAAATCCGAAAATATTAGTTTCATTTAAATGAGTACTCGTGAAAAGCTTAGATCTCATTATTGTACTAGTACTTAGTAGTGCCTGACTAGTCTATCATTTTATTGCTATACCAGTATCAACTTAAGTTAGTTTTTAAGGTAGTTGTGGTCATGTTATATATCGAACATAGGCTGGCTCGACCGAGGAAGTATAAAGTAGTGTTTAATGGCTGCGTTTCGTCTGATGAGTGAATGAGCCGGTTGCAATTTAGCATAAAAAAAGTTTATCATATTAAAAGTATCTTTAATTTTTGTATATATCATTTGTGTGTTGTTTAGGAAAACATGCGCCAAAGCAAAACTGTTGATAGCCAAGTACAACGATGAAACAAGCAGCGTAGACGTTAACGTTAACATAAATTACTACAAGGAATCTGTTGACGCCTTTAAACATTGGGAGAAGAGTCTGGTGAGGGAAAATTGATATAAATTATTATTTGCTATAAATTCCTACTAATATTATAAATGCGTAAGAAACTCTGTCTGTCTGTTACGCTTTCACGCCTAAACCACTGAACTGATTTTAATGAAATTTAGTACAGAAATGGAGTTGACCTTGAGAAAGAACATAGGATAGTTTTTATCCCAAACTTTTGAAAGGTTCTCTTGGAAACGCGATATAACCGAACTCCACGCGGGCGAAGCTGCGGGCGGAAAGCTAGTTATTTGTATATAAAAAACAAATTATTTTTAATTTTATATTTTAAAGGTGTGTTTGGGCGCGTATTACGAGAAAGTGAGCTCTATCGACACTAACACTAATATGATGTGGTCCCGCCGGCTATACGCTCTCAATAGTTACGGGAAGTCGCTACAGTATGGACATAAGTACTTGTACCAGAGTATGCCGAGGATGTTGTCAATATGGTAGGTTGAAATATTTTCACTTAATACCCCTTGTTATAATAAATTTGAATTAACTATTTGTTTGTCTGTTCTAAGGTTATAATATCACGAACTTATATTTTTGTATGTATGCGTAATTTTAGTTCCATCTAGCAGAATAGTGCAGTGTTAATCCTAAATGTAATAAAAAATACTCAGAAAAGAGGAGTATGAAAACGACGTATCTTTCGTAAATATTTATTATCGTTATTTTTATTAAATAATTTTATGGGATTTTTACTGAAAAATATATTTTCTTCATAAGCGTTTAAGTATGTCTGATACAATTTCCAGGTTGGATGTGGAAGTTTCGTCGGCAGATCCAAATTCTCACGCGATCGTGACCGAGATGACGGAAGTTATAAAAAATTATTCTGAAAAGTTGCCTATTTATTTGTATTTTACTGCCTTCTCACAAATAATATCAAGGATATGTCACCCAAAAATAGAGGTAAAAGAATTTATTTCGTAAACGATTTTCTTAAAAAAAAAAAAAAAGGAAAATTAGCTTATTTCTATAATATTGTACCTCATGCTATAAATGCAAAATGTTGTGTTGCTTTGTTTTCGTGACCTATTAAATGAGGGCTATTGAATGTCTTCTTGAACCTGGGAATTTCCCAGCGTTTAGCCAGGGTCTGCCTTACATGTTGCGAATAGCTTTGGCTAATTGTTTTTACGACCGGCCGCCTGCCTGACATCAACCCTCTTTGGGAATGCATTAATCTGTGATATCTAAATATTCTCAGAAAGTACATATGACTCGGAGGGCTATTGAATGTATATGGAATTAAATGTATGAAAATTAAAAAATAATATTGTATATTTACATAATACAATAAAAGCGAAATTATGGAGTATTTATTATTAACAGTCGACAGATAAATGTGTGATATTCTTAATATGGATAAGATTCTAATAATCTGTATTACCCAGGTGTATAATCAGCTAAAGGCGATTATAGTGAAACTGTTAGCGGCTTACCCACAACAGTCTCTATGGATGATGCTGTGTGTGCTCAAATCCAGTTACCCTGCGCGCGTGGCTCGATGTGAACAGGTTTTAGCTGATGCGCGACTCAAGCCATTGGGCAAGCTGGTGCGTGACTTCAAACAGCTTGCTGAAAAACTGATCGAGTTATGCAACAAGCCGATAGCTGGGAAAGTTATGGTTCGTCTCTGATGAAATATATCAGTTTTAATCTGTGTCATATTGAAATCATAATGAGATTTAAGACTTGCGAGTATTCATTTAAATGAAACTGATATGTTCGGATTAGTACGCCTTATTTAAAAATATTAAAAACGACATGCTCTCGATGCTTCAGTTATTTTGCAATAACCGCGAACGGTTTTTAAATATAATAATATAGCGCTTCGTAATCCGAAAGTATTAGTTTCATTCATATTAAATAATCCTTATTTTACGACATACATATTTCTATTTTTTAAAAATGTAATTAAAAATGTTCATCCTACTAATATTATAATTGGGAAAGTTTGTGAGTTTGTGTATGCTTGTTACTTCTTCACGCTCAAACGGCTGAACCGATTTTGATAAAATTTTGTAGACAGGAAGCTGACGTCCTGGGATAGCACAAAGGCTACTTTACATCCTGGAAAATGTTCGACTTTTCCTCATATAGGCGCAAACCATATTTACTTACTCGAGAACTCAACTCCTAGCCAAAACGACATTATCGCTATGTACCTTTTACCGGTCTATGTAGGCACGATCGACAGCCAATAAGCATTCCTTTCGTAAGAAAAAAAAAGAGTTATGACATACAATATCTATAGACAACAGTTTCTTTTTAAATTTAAATACTGCCAAACTATTAATGTTAACGTACTTCTTAATTTTTATAACATTTCTGTTGTTTTGTAATTGTTGGGTATTGCCCCATTTGTGGGTTTTCTTTTAACTCGTGTTTCATAAAAGCTTTCTGGTGGCGAAACGGAGTTCGCCGGGTCGACTAGTTTAAATATAATAACGCTGATCTTTCATAGAAAACCATTTATTCATATATGCCTTATTATATAATCTTATTAATAACTGTTTCTAGAGTGCAACAGTATCAAGTCTAGTTCCAACTTTGCCTCGTCTTCTCGAGTCAGAAGGCTTCAGTCACATAATGATGCCGTTCCAAGAGTTCTGCAAGATAGTACTACCGTCTAAAGCAGCGAGCGACATGCCCTTCACTATACCGACCGAGCCGAAGGTTTATATAGCGGGGATACAAGAACAACTAACCAAGTTGCCATCTTTGCAGCAACCCAGAAAGGTTACCTTGATGGGTAAGATATATTAGATATCTAATACTTGAATAAAAATCATATATAAAGTATGGAATGAATATTTGATCTAAACTGTTGTTGCTTTGTAAGTTAAACGGTCGTGTCATGACTACAGTCGGTGAATTAAGCTTAAGATTGCTATATATCTATGTAGGACGGTTTCCATTACTATCTTTAGATCTGACCAATGAATGGTGATCATGATAATAATAAATTTCTTATAATACTGAACTATTTTCTGTACTTAAATTATCTTCAGAATATAATGTACAGCATTATAATAACATGTTTTATTATTCCAGGTTCAGACGGAAAGAAGTACATTATCATGTTAAAACCTAAAGACGACCTGCGCAAAGATTTCCGTTTGATGGAATTCAATGGCGTCGTTAATAAATTCCTTCAAGACGCACCTGAAACTAGGAAGAGGCGGCTTTATATAAGAACATACAGCGTGCTGCCTCTTAACGAGGAATGTGGCCTGATAGAATGGGTTCCCAACCTCGTTGGATTACGACCGATTCTCATACATATATATAAACAGAAAGGTAATTTTTGGACCGAATTCGAAATTTAAATTATAACACACCTGGCCGAAAACGGTTTAAAAAAAATCATTATATTCCTTGCTGAAACGGACTCTAATTTAAAAAAAATGTAGGCATGCAAACCAGCAACAGTGAGCTCCGGAAAATGATGTGTTCAAGTCACGACCCGGTGGAGAAGAAGCGTGATATATACGAGAGGATGTTACTGCCGCGACATCCGCCGGTCTTCCAGGAGTGGTTCAGGAAGACCTTCTCGGACCCGTACGGATGGTATTCAACATTTTATACTGAAATTACTTTTACTTTGATGAAATTGCCTCAAAAGTAATATGAGCGCGAAAAAGATATATATATATATATATATATATATATATATATATATATATATATATATATATATATATATATATATATATATATATATCTAACTGGTTATCGATTAACTATTGATACTCGACTTTAATTGATTATTTCAAGTCCTATAGTGGAAAATTAATGACAATATGTTTGATATTTAGTAATAACACAGATCTAGGAGTCTTTGTGAATTATTTCATGTGTCAAAGTCGCGTTAGTGTGAAATTAACATATTTTATTTTTCAAATTTCTCTGCAATTTCTTCATATAAACTTTAATGTTAATTTGTACGTTTATCCATTTCCACGATTCTCTTACAATGGGATACACTCACTTCACATATGATGAGTCTCATAAATATATATTTTTTAATATATAAATATAATGTATATACGTTGGTTTATAAGTTGTATTTCCAAATATTTTTGTACATTTTTCCTCTCTCTTCCGCCGTACATTTTTGAAATATTCAATCTTCTTCAACCTGGCAATTTCCCAGCTTTAGCCAGGGTTTGAATTACATGTTGTGAATAGTTTGGGGTAATTGTTTTGTACACAATAATTATGTTTAGAAAATAACCTTTGTTAATTATTCAGTGCAATAAAGAGTATATACATAGGTGTACAACTTTGCTTCCGCCGTTTTGCAATAGATGGCTGTAGCGGTAAGTGGTAGTCGAAATAAATAGATCGTAGATGTCATACAATAAGCTTAGGCATTTGTTAACATAACGCCATCGAAATATTAGTCGATTTGTGTCTGCATCATTAAGTTATTTTCGATTAAACATGTCAGCTTACGATCCAAATTCTCGTCATTTGCGGGAGGTTTTAATTTTCTGCTTTAATATGAAGAAATCTGCGGCTGAGGCTCATCGAATGCTCTCAAATACCTATGGTGAGGCTGCTATTAGTGAAAGAACGTGCCAAGAGTGGTTTCAACGCTTAAAGAACGGTGATTTTGACGTCGAAGACCGGCATGGCGGTGGAAGAGAGTAGGTTTTCGAAGATGCAGAATTGGAGGCATTACTTGATCAAGACTCGTGTCAAACGCAACAAGAATTGGCAGGATTATTGGGAGTGATGCAACAAGCCATTTCAAAACTCCTGAAAGTCATTTGAATGATAGAGACACAAGGAAATTGGGTGCCGTACGAGTTGAAGCCGAGAGATGTTAAACGGCGTTTGTTTGCTTGTGAATAGCTGCTTGCAAGGCAAAGACGGAAAGGATTTCTGCATCGCATTGTGACTGGGGACGAACAATGGGTTCATTACGATAATCCCAAGCGCAGAAAATTATGGGGATATCCCGGCCACGCTTCCACGTCGACGGCCAAACCGAATATTCACGGTTTCAAGGTATGCTCTGTATTTGGTGGGACCAGCTCGGCGTAGTGCATTATAAGTTGTTAGATACGACTGAAACAATCACAGGCGATAGTTATTGAACGCAATTAATGCGTTTGATCTGAGCATTGAAAGACAAACGGCCGCAATACAACGAGATACATGATAAAGTGATTTTACAGCACGACAATGATCGACCCCATGTTGCGAAAGTGATCAAGACATACTTGGAAACGTTGAAATGGGAAGTTCTACCCCACCCGCCGTATTCTCCAGACGTTGCTCCCTCGGACTATCACTTGTTTCGATCAATGGCACACGGCCTGGCTGACCAGCACTTCCGGTCTTATGAAGAAGTTAAAAATTGGATCTATTCGTGGATCGCTTCAAAAGATGACCAGTTTTTTCAACGCGGGATTCGTATGCTGCCCGAAAAATGGGAGAAAGTAGTGGCCAGCGATGGACAATACTTTGAATCATAAATGTATAACCAGTTTTTCACAATAAAGCCTCGAATTTCGGAAAAAAACGGCGGAAGCAAAGTTGTACACCAATATATTGTTTTACGACCGGCCGGCTGCCTGACATCAACCCTCTTTTGGGAATCAGCATTAATCAGTGATGTCTAAATAATCTTAGAAAGTACATAATATGATTCCGAAAAATCACATTGGTACTTGCTCGGGCCAGGATCGAACCCGCGCCCTTGACAACGAGAGGCGGGCTCTTTAACCACTAGGCTATCACTGACTAATCAAAATTTATTTAATGTCATTTATAGGTATCAAGCGAGGTCAGCGTATATAAGAACCACCGCTGTAATGTCCATAGTGGGTTATATTTTAGGTAAGACATTTTTGAATTTTTTATATTAGTACATACGTAACGAGGTAATATTAATATATTTTAATAAATATAGAATAAACTTTGAAATCAAATTCACTAAATATTTTTAATTAATGTTTTTGATTGATTACGACTACTACTTCTGTAATAATTTTGAGAGTGAGAGAATCTGGTAGCAATTGCAATGTTAAACTAATATTACACTACACCACATAGTTAGTTATTTTTACTGCATACTAATATAGTATATAATTCTACAAATATATATAAATACTAGAAGACCCGGCGAACTTCGTATCGCCCTATAATCAAGAAATATCTGTTACGTTTTTTTATTTATATTTTTGGAGTTTACCTATTAAAGCCGTAAATCTCCGTGTTTTGAAGTGCGACAAAATGATTGACATATTAGTTAGTTGTCAAATCTAATGTCAAAAAAAGTTTGTATCAACAACTACTAATAAATTAAAAATTAATTAAAAAAACATTGTGCAGCGGACAAAATTGTGAATCTAAACCATTCCCAGATCCCCTTGAACACACACAAAAAATTTCATCAAAATCGGTCCGTTCGTTTGAGAGAAGTTCAGTGACATACACACTCACAGAAGAATTATATATGTATATAAAGATATTTCTTAACCAGGTCTTGGCGACAGACACGGTGAGAACATATCGTTCGACTCCACTAACGGTGACACAGTACATGTGGACTTCAACTGCCTGTTCAATAGAGGTGAGAGTTTCGAATGGCCCGAGCGGGTGCCCTTCAGACTTACACACAACATGCAGGCGGCCATGGGGCCCCTCAAACACGACGGCATGTACAGGTTAGTGTTCTGAGTCAGTCTTGTTTGGGTAGGATTTCAATTGTACCGAAAAGTTTGCATGGTTTGGTTATCTTTTATTTAAAACAGCAGAATTTTTAAATTCCTGCTTCTAATGGCATTTAAAATCAATTCAAAAGTCCAAGTAAAAATCGCATTCAAGAATTTTGTTTCTATTTTATTGAGTCCAATATAACAAATCTAAACAAGATTTGTTATGTATTAATTTACTATTTTATTAGTGTTGCTTTAGTTGTATTCAGGTATAATACATAAATGATTATTCCATTCATCATTATTTCATATAAAAACCTTAATAATTCTTATATTATATAGGAAATGCTGTGAGGCTGTGACCCGAGTGCTTCGCTCTCAGACAGAGGCTCTCATGTCTGTTGTGGGACCGTTCGTGTATGACCCTCTGGTCGCTTGGAACAAGAGACACGACACCGGAGAGAGAACCAACGACCAGGCGAAGTTACATCTCAAACATATACTGCAGCGCTTGAGAGGGATGGTTAGTCGTTTTTTCGAAACCTGTAGGATTTAGAACTAAACAGATTATATATATTAGATATCAAGAACGAATAAAGTTAATAAAAAAAATCCATTACGAAGTGATTGCATACTTCTCATATAATTAAAAGTACGTGCCTTAATTAAGAACATTACGATTTCTTCATTATTTTGAGTTACATTACATCTACACGTAATGCAATTCTATACAAGAGCAGTTCAGAAAAATTAATTACTATATTAAATGTCTTAAACTGTATTAATTTCAGGTAAAAACTAAAAATACGGAGTTTTCATTGTCGTTGTCACCGGAAGGTCTTGTGGAGCATCTGATAGCTGAGGCCACGAGTGTTCATAATCTGTGTCAGATGTATATCGGCTGGGGATCGTTTTTATGATTATACTAGCTGCGCCCCGCGGTGTTACCCGCGGATTTACGGGATTTCCGGGTTGTAAAGTAGCCTACGTGTTATTCCTGGACGTCAGCTTCTTGTATACAATATTTTCTCAAAATTTGTTCAGCCGTTTGAGCGTGACGAAGTAACAAACATACACACACACTCACAAACTTTCGCAATTATAATATTAGTAGGATATAAGAACTATGGAATTTTTGAGCTTATTTGAAACATTTAAAATGAATGTTATAATTGTTAATTATTTTTTATTTCTCGTTTAATTCTCCTTTTCATCTAATATAGAAATAAAAATGAAGCAGACCGAATACGCTAGTGAAAATAATTTACAATTATAAATAAATTTATTTTTAAAATTCTTCTTAAGGTTGAAATTACCTTAAATATAATATATGTGCAACATGTATTACATAAGTCTTTAAAATAATCAACAAAATTAGTTTGTGTGCTTGTAATCTTAAAATAGCCGTCACATAAAGATACAAATTTTAAATAATTGTTCTTTATGTTTGTATTGAATAATCTCTAAAACGGCTAGATCAATGTTGATAAAGATGTCCACTGGCAGATAGCTGGAGTATGAAGACGTTACTAGGCTATTTTAATAAGAATTCCTTGCCTACGTAGTCTCGGGCTCAGCGCGCTAATGTTACAATATATCGGGTTTAAGAACTTTATTTAAAAAAAGAATTTACATTCGCTTAGAAAAATAACAATACAATTATAAAAATATAGCTGGACAGCTTGACAACTCGTACGGAACACTCGATAGATATGAACAAAGAACCGTTGCAACTGGAAGTGTTAAAAAAAGTAATATTTGATACGATAATTTATTAAACACAGTTTCTGTAATTTAAACATAGTTTTGTAATCTTTCTATATTGGTTTAAGGTTCCTAGATATAATTTAGTACATATATTTTTATTTATTGAATAATTTAACTTATAATGTTATGATTACTAGTAATGTAAGATTTAAGTAAGTTTTTGAAATTAGTCATCGTTTTAGTGTCTTTTATATTTTTGGGTAAAGAGTTATACAATTTAGCACCTTCATACATAATGCACATTTTACCATATTTAGTACGCGGCTTAAATAAACTAATGTCATTTGCTGATCTTAATGTCATTTTTTGCTCTTCGTGTTTTTTAGTAAATTTTATTTGAGTGTGTATTTCGTTATTTAATATTTTTCGTATTAGTACGCAATTAAAATATATATATGATTGGTGGATGCTCATGATTTGGGTTTCCTTATATATTTTTTGCGTAGGTGTTAAATAGTTATAATGAAATAATAGTTTTATTAATTTATTCTGAGTTATTTGTAGACTTTCTAAATTAGTTTTGGCAGCTGTTTCCCATATTTGTATTAAATAGTCTATGTGAGGTTTGATAAGAGAATTGTATTGAAATATATGTTCGATTTACTATTACCTTTTTAGTTTTTTAAAGACTCAATAATAGTTTTCAACGAGGTATGTGTCTTTTTATTTAAGTACCTTAAATTTAACTCTCAAAAGAACATACGTTACAGTTTTTAAATTATTTCTTTTAATAATAGTAGAGTAATAATTAGAATTAACTTTGCCCTTTTAATTTGAATATATTAAAAAAAATACTAAGACCAATTAAAAATTTTACATTTCCACAACCTTTTAGAGCGATATTTTGTATAGTGAAAAGCTGTTTGTCGAGTCGGATTAAAGGGGAATTTGATCTAGCTCGGTTTTAACTGACAGAGACAACGCTGTAGAATTTAACCCTCTAATAAAAATCGTCACCGTGAGCCAGACGAAATTTAATTTGTCTCACCCTCTTCGTTTTCAGTCCCAATACAAAGGGTAGGTTATACTTTGGGTTTTCCAATTACAATACTTTGGGTTTTCCAATTACAATCAATTATTTTGCCAATATAATAATTATTAATTAGCTACTGTTCGTAATTTAAATCATATCTGATCTTTATATTTATGATATTAACTTATATGCCATATATACATGTAGCAACGGTTATTGTAGATATTCTCAATTATTGTAATTGTAAATTGACTATTATTATTAACTCGAGCATTATTATTGTTTGACGAACTAATATCACAGCGGATTTGACATTGGCAAAATAAATCACGATTTCAATGCGAATGAAGCCATAGTTATAAAAAAACATAGCGGCCTAATTGATTTGTGTTCTGATTTATCAAATATAATTCTGAATATTTTGTGTTACGTTTCCTTACAACATATCTATACATATAATAAAATTGTAGAAAAGTGCTGTCTGTAGTCTGTACATTGAAAATAAAAATAAATAAATAGCAGGGGTTATTGTTATGTCGATGTTGAACCCAAAAATGTAATTAACTTTTTTTTTGTCTGTTTGTCTGTTTGTCTGTTCACGCTAATCTCAGAAACGGCTGATCCGAGTGGTATGCTTCAGTTATGCTTTAGTGTTTGTTTCATGTCAATCGGTTCATAAATAAAAAAGTTATGTCAAATTAAAGAACTGAAGAACTGCCTTCAATATTCGACCGGATGTGTCAATTGTATGTGGCTCTGTCCCGTGTTAGCAATCCCAGCAGCCTGTATGCTTTCACCCCCGATGGCCATACGTCTAATATTGTATATAGAGAAGCATTACAGTAAAGTAGGTTTTTTAGCTACCCAAAATGACTGTGATTATGATCCAAAATAAAAATAAGTATGTATTAAAAAAAAACGCTGCTCATAGTCACTATTCCACGCGAACGAAGTCGCGGGCACAGCTAGTTTTATAAATTTTATTTACCTACCTTAATTTACGAAACAACTACATTATAGAGTAAAAGCTAAAAACTAAATGAAACGTTAACGCGAACGTTAGGATTCATATACGCTTTCATATTTATTATAGTTACATAATTTTGTAAAGCCTTTGTGTAGTGTATTTGACAAAGGTTAGCGCGAACAAAGCTATGAGCCCGGAAGCAGCCATACTACTACATTAATTGTAGCACCAATTGAATGGATGATTTACATCCATAACGCAATTCAGTTTACACTACGATTTAACCTTCATGCTTTTGGACTAACCTTCCGATTTGCTATTATTGTCACTAGCTATTATTATACTTTTTTTTATAAAATTAAAGCGAACTTGAACAAAACTACAATGAAACAGAAACTATAAACATCGTATAGACATTAAAGCTTTGCATTACAAAGCAATAATTTCGTTAGTGAGTTAATGGTACCTACATGGTAGTCATCAATATTAACATAAATAACTAAAAGGAGAGATGACATGGGAAGACATTAGCATACTATGCGACAGACAACTCGCGCTTGGTTAATTTTATAGATCATAAATATGTACATACATCGCTGTTTTATGTTCATGTTATATCTGAATAAAAACTGAAAAGTTTCTACAGACGAGATATGTAACGAAAATGAAAAGTGAAGTGAAAATTAACGCTTCTCTTTCAATGAAAAACTGTCAAATATTTCGTGTCTACAAACAGTTTTGAGTTGTCCGACATCCATTCTCCGTTTGTAGTACAAACGATTACTTTTTCATAGCACAAATTGCCTTTACTGAAAATAAAGCTGAACAACTATAGATTTTAACTTTGCTCGGTAAAACTTTTCCTTTACCCATGCTTGTCTTTTCAATAAGTTCACTGCAAATTGGAAGATAAAGTTAGCTGGAGATTGAGCCTGGTTTATTGTTCAACATTTAACAAGAGGATGCTATTGTTAATTCCGGTTTTACAATGGCAAGAGGTTGATTTTACTAAGTGGGTTCTTATAAAACTTTCCTTAGAAAACATTTTATTTTGATTTACATTTACCCGTTCCTTGTTATCTATTGTTTTCTATTGAAGTCAACTTAGCAGTTGGACAAACGTTATTAAGGCTATTTAACTTTTGAGTTCTAACTTGAAATTGTAGTTCAAAAGGATTCTTTACAGACTGCTCTGCTATTAGGTCTTGTATTATGGCCTTAAAATAAATTCTATTAACTTTTTAGAAACCGTCAGACATTAAAAATTAAAGATTGAGTTAAAAAAAATCTTTAGAATGTAATTACAACGAAGTTACAAGAGCGATATATATTAAGATTATATCGAATAAAATAAATTTAAAATATTTCATAAATATTATGAAAAATTTTCATATTTCCTACTACCTATCACATTTGTTTTAATAATTTTAGAAAAAATATCAACAAAGAAATATTTAGATTTAATATAATAAAAAATACGTAAAATAAATAGAAGCCATAAATTTCTTTTGTAAATTGATATTATTTTAACACGCCCGTTTTAGTTATTTATTATATGATGTATATCAAAGGCAATATATTTTAATATCGCAGGTAAGGCTAGGAACGTGTCTAGTCCGTGACCCAGTGTCGGTTAGTTCTGACAGGCAATATCCGGATGATCCATTGTTCATCTCATTGAGTATTCTGTACGCGACCGGCCCGTGCCGGCGTTCTAAAACCAACTGCAATTTTGTTTGATATAGATTTTGGAATAGAGAGTAAACAAGGATGTTATTATTTTGCAAACAAGTTACAATCGTAGTTCTTAACACATTTATCTATTTTATGTGAAAGGATTTTTGAGAAATAAAATTATGATTCGTTCCATTTGTTTGTTCAGAATTATTATCATCATATTATATATAATAAAATTACAAAAATGTAACTTGTTCGTATTTAGTAAATTTGTTTCCACTAAAGAATGCATGTGTTTTTTTTTACAAATATGTATACGGTAATTTAAAATTAATATTAGACTACGCATAAACTGAATTTAAATGGAATCATGTAGAGCAAAATGCATACATTTTAAAATATTGACGTAAATCAAAATTACAGAATGCACTTATACCAAGTTTTTTTTTCCAAAATAAACATCAAAGAGATCAATCTTAACGTCACTAGTCAGTCAGGGGAATTGTCAACAAACGTTGTGAACTGTTTTCCTGAAA